TGCAAAAATGAATTGTGCATTTAATTTAATTTTTTTATTTCAACAATAATTTAAAAAAAATTATATTATAATAGATAAAATAAATATAATAATATATCCATTTTATGTTGGTATGAATTATAAAATTGTAATATTTAATATATAAAATTATAATATATTAGATTTTTTAAAATAAATATAAGAGCCTCTAGATTTTCAGGCAATAGGCTTCTACGTTGTGGACTATCAATATTCCCTGCCGTATTGAAGGCAGACTCAGGTGGGACACTTGTTGCTGGAGGAGCCAAAAATTTACGTGCAAGTTTTAACAAAGTTGGATATTTTACAGCATTAACTCTCCAATATTCAAGTGGATTCACTGGGGATATAATATCAACATCATTAATGTAATTCGAGTTGTCTAAATAAATAACACAAATATAAAACTAGCATTTATAAAATAGTGGATTTCATACAAACCCAATCTTTTGTTGATTTTGAAAAATAATCAGATATCACCCAAACAAATGGTCATTCATAGATTAACCAAGCAATATTTAAATTAATATGATAAATATGTTATTATACTTTCTATATATAAAGATTCTTTTAAATATTCCTGGATTTTTATCAAGTATGGCAGGTCATCATTTACATTAATATCGATTTTTTCTTTGATTTTCAATTATAAGCATCCCTTAAATTCATTTTTTATTGTTATGTGGAACATTTTTCTCATTGTCATTACCTAAGTTAACAATAAATCTAAATTTATTTAAAAAAATATTAAACCTGGCGAACCTTTATTAGAAGTTGGAAAGTGAACATTATCATCACCTTTAAAAAGAGACTCACATGCAGTCCTGAGCTTTTCAATATATGAAATGTTTTTTGGTAAAAATCCTTATAAAGAGCATCAAGTAATGTTGCGATAAGATAATTGTCATCATCATAAATATCAAAAAACCGAGTTGTTAATTGATTATTAATGGTATCCTTCATGGTTTGCACACCTCTATTTGTGTCCCCATTAATCGTTAATTCAATTTTCAGAAATTCAACAAAGGGTATAACAATGCTAATTGTACATGATTCCTTACTTATTTCTTTTGTTACTCTCTGAATTGGCTCCAGAACATCAATTACCCTTTCTGCTAATTCCCACTCATATAATGAGAGATTTCCCAAATTAGGATTATCGATAATGAACAGCTTTACCGCCCTTTTTTGTTCTATCAATCTTTCGAGCATATAATAGGTAGAATCCCAACGGGTGGGCACATCCTGGATTAATTTGTGCCAGGCTAGACTTAATCGAATTTGGATATCTTTTAGACTATTTTGTGCAATAGAAGAATGTTTAAAGTGGCCTACTATTTTTCTAACCCGGGCAAGCATGTCAATAATAGATCTCTGTGATAAAATTGCTGCCTGTGCAACCAATTGCAAAAAACGCTTTGAAATTTGCCGTTTTTCATGGCCAAAGTTTTATTGGGTGCATTATCTCTAATGATTAGATGTATTTTATTTTCTTTATACCCCAATAATTAATAATTTCATCTAAAATTTGAGCAATATTTATTGCTGTATGCGACTCATTAAATTTTTTAACATTTAGAAATCTATTAATTTGTTTAAAATTTTGGTAAATATAGTGGCATGTTAATGAGATGTGAAAATCGCCACCTGAATTTCTAGTCCATATATCTACCGTAAAAGAAAGAAAAGAATCGGCAAACAAAATTTCTTTGCGAATTTTTTCGGAGAGTTTTTCATATATATCCGGAATAACTCCTTGCGAAAAATACTTTCTATTGGAAATTTTGTAATTTGGACATAAAAGATGTAAAAGCCTTTAAAAGCCGATATCCTATAAGCTAGAAATCGGCTGGTGGTCACACGCTATCATTTCTATAAATTTAGAAATTATTATTGATTTAGAATCAAAATATTTCCAAATATTTGTTTTATTAAGAATGGCTGATACAGTTGGCTGACTTTCAGGGCTCTTTTTTTTAAAAATTATATTTGTTTTTCTAATATTCCTCGTTCTTTTTATATTAGCTCTTCGAATTCCGTTTGATGGAATCGCTTTAAATGTTTCCTAATATTAGATGTATTAAACTAAATTTCAGTATTCTTCCCCGTGAAATTAGAATTCCGCAGACAACGCATTTTGCAAAATTCCTTTTATCTTTATCAAAATATTTCCATAATTCAGAAACTATATTTAAAATAATTCTTTTATTTAAAGTATAAATAATAAAATTGGTGTTATTTTTAAAAAAAATTACAAATAAATAAAACTTTGAGTGTTCCTTTCTATTTTTATAAAAAAACTTTTAAAATCTATTTAAAAAAATAAATAACATTTGCATTGTTTAAAAAAAAATTATTTAGAAAATATTATTAATGTAAAATAGAAACTCACTGAAACTCGAAAAAATTTATTTTAAAAAATAATAATTAAAGTTTCATTACTCAAAAGTTTTAAGAATTACATTTTTAGCAAAAGGATCGGATCGGGGTTTTTACAGGTATCGGACCGATCCGATATTTTTGAAAAACGCTAAATATCGGCACAGATCTTATCCGATATTTAATATCGGCACAGCCCTAATATTTACTAATCTACATCATGCTTTATAAGTATAAGATATTTAATAATAAATTTCAAAGATGTGCAATTTTTCTTTATTATCAATTTTAACACAATTTTTAATTTTATCTTGGGTCTAGAAGGGAACCCAACAAAAATAAGCCAACCTAGATAATTTTTGAAATAAAGAGTAAAAATAATTGAAACTTATTTAGTATTATTTGCAGATCGCAAACAACAAATCGTAACGCAAGTTTTTTAAGCAAATTTTTCTAAAGTGATAAAATTTCCTAACCATCATTATCATTTACATTAAATACGTTTCTATTTTAAGTCTGGAAAGTAATGCCAAGTTTAATGTAGGCCCTTTTTTCGACGATGTAAATTCAATTGTTTCTTTAAATTTCGAAGTTCTTCTACGAGTTCTGATTGATAGTTTGAGGTAATGCTTTTCAATTATTTTCAAAACTTTATTAATTAGATTTTTATTAGCGGCATATATACTTTCAAGCATAATTATATGACACCTTGTTAGGACATTTAATTTTTATGTTCTCATTTGAGTGGCATTATTGTTATCATCATTGAAATCGAATTTGAAAAAGGGTTTCAGGGTATGGATCAGTGCTATCAAAATCCTAGCATATCTGATGTTAGATCTATTATATTGAAACATTTTCTCTTATGACATTATACAATTACAACAGTGATATGTTGACTAATCAGATGGAAATTATTTAAAAAAAATTTATTCGCTGGTTATATCTAAGGTCGGTATGATTTATAAACGGTAGCGTTTTTAGCGTGATCAAAAATATAGGTGGCCGGTTGATGCACAAATCTATTTTTTTAAAAACTTTTTGCGATCTCTTTAATTTATTTTTGTCTTTTCTCAATTTTTTTAATATTTTTCTTCTCATTTTTTATTTTACTTTTTTTGTCTTTTTTTAAATTTCCTTATTTTTCCTATCATCAATTCTCTCTATACATTTTTTATTTTAACCTTGATCTTATTATGCGGGAAATAAACTAATCGTTTATTAATAATACCATTTTTAAATTAAATAAATTTCGACTAAAATATCAAACGATAAGTGATTTACAAAATAATCCAGATGTAGACACCTGTAAAACTGAAATCAGGATCAGAACTGGAAAATATAATTTTTTTAAAAATCAGGTTGGACTAAAAATAAAAAATTACAAATACCATGCTATTTTTTTTACAAAACACAGGCCAGACTGAATTTTTTCCACACAATTGAAATCAGATAGAGAAGAAGAAGAATTAAAATTATAAAAAAGATGAATGAATAAAGAAATTATTTTAAAAAGATTATTGGCCAAGAAGACCAAAAATAATCTAAAATGGAAAAAGAATGAAAAAATTGGAGAGTAAAAATAGATCAGTATGACAAATAAAGAAAGATCGTAAAGATTGATAAAAAAAATAAGAAAGAAAATTATAAACAAAAGATTAAAAAAGACATGACATTTCATGATAATTAAAACTACTTTTTCCATTTTTGATTGAATTTTTTTTTTAGATCAGGCCTTTTCCTTCTTTGACCCTAGCTTTTCCTTTTTTGAATGGGAAACCTTGTAATTAGACTGATCATGCTAGGAATTATTTAAACTTAGATATTTAAAGCGGCATTTTTGGTCCCAAGAATAAAACTTGGTTTATTAGTAGTGTATTTGTAATTGTAATCTTTGGCTACAAAATCGAAAAGATTGTTAAATTAATTAGGAAAAAGCATGGATCCAAATCTAACCTAAACAGAATCGTTAAAACGTATTAACCGTTATTATTTACCTAACCTAAACCGCTAAAAAATTTATCACCTAAACCTGAACTTTTGATATTTGACTCTTTTAAAGATAATTAATAATCAGCTTTAATTGATAAGTTTCAGTATATTATTAGATATTTTTGTATATTGCTATTTGGCGTTACCAGGGGTCCAATTTAGGGTATACAAGTGTTTTCTACCATAGAATTTATTCCTTCTCCTTATAGAAGATATAATCTGAGAGAAGAGAATCTTGAAAATATTTTAATTATATACGGCACAATATTAATTTTTAGGAATATTTATAAAATCTAAAACCGGACCTTACTTTTCACCACTAATCGAACCTAAGCCGTTAATTTAATCTGTGTGAAATAGGAACAATAGCTTCAAAAATTTTACATTATATTGTTAAAATTGAATTTTATATATCCATGAAAGGGATCTTAATAAAACCCACATTTTTAAAGCGAATTACAAACTTTACATTTATTTTACCTTTATAGCTGATATTATTGCATGCTTAATATAATCAAACATTTTCAATTTACATAGTCTTTAGTCATTTAATAGACCGTAAACATGTTTAAACATTACTAAATTTTATTTTAACACTTTTATAACTCTAGGAACATATGCCGTGGTATCTATCATGTTGGGTAATGTCATATCTAAATACACTACTAATGATATAATACCACTCACAAATGATGCATTAATAAAAAATTACACGGTTATAGTCAACTCTAAATCAACTCCCGATTTGCCATCACAAACTGATATAGCTGTTCAAGTAGCGTTGTCTATCACTTTCTTAGTCGGCATTATGCAGGTTTTTAAATTTTACATATTTTTTTTTTTAACTTTAAGATTTATAATTAATTTGAATGTAAAATATTATGCAAAAAAAGATGTTATTAGGAATTTTCAGAATAGGATTCATTACGACTTATATGTCGACACCAATTGTTAGGGGTTTTACCACGGGTGCATCGTTACACGTATTTACGTCTCAATTAAAATCTTTCTTTGGATTGCCCAATTTGCCCAGAAGAGAAGGGATCGGAAAGTTGATGAAAGTGAGCTATCAAATATTAAAGACTTAATTTATTGATTAATGCCTTTCAAATAAAATAAATATAAAGACATTTATCGATTTCATAAAACTATGTCACACTTCAAACATACCAACACTTAGCTTATCCTGTGTTTGTGTTATAATACTCATATCAGTCAAAGTACTTACATCGAAATTCAAAATACACCTTAAATTTCCCATACCTATCGAATTTCTGTTGGTATATAAATTATTGATATTATATTATTTTCACATTAGTTGTGTAACTTGTGGAAGGAGGCAAGAGGGGGAAAAATAATTTAAAAGATTTAGTATTTCTTACCCAAATTAAAATGGATTATAGCAGACGAAAATTTAAAGAAACTAATTTATAATTATTAAGTTATGCAGTATTGATATTATTAAATCTACTTTTAACAAACAACATAGATTACGAAATTTTTTTAAAAAATATTATAAATTTTTTTTTTGCGACTTAAATGTAAAATAATTATTTTTTTTGTTTTTTTAAATTTTTTTATTTAGATATTAATGGGAACTGCTGCATCATATTTTATGAATTTACACAAATACGGCGTTGAAACTGTCGGTAATATCCCCGAGGGGTATACAATTTTTATAGAACATTTTAGCAGTTCTATTCTAAAGTCTTGCATACACATCATATAATCTTTTTTGGTCACATATTTTATTGTGCAATTTTTTTTTCCTAAAATAGTGGCCTATCAGGTTGATGCAAACTAGTTCGGTGAAATCTATAGTCTTGCATAGCTCTAAATTTAATAAATTTTGTTTATTATTTTGCTAAAAATTATGATTAGGTTTCCGCAATTCAAAATACCTACGACTCAATACTGGAGTGCGAATTTAGTTCAAAGCTTTGCTTTAGCCATGGTCGCCTTTTTCACTTCGTTTTCGATGGCCAAAATTTTAGGTGAAAAACACAACTACGAAATTTACCCTAACAAAGTTTTTTAAAATATTTTTTAGTATTTTATATATTTTATTATTTAATATTATTTATAAGTAGGCCTACAAAAAAACGAATCGAATCGAATAATTGCGCTATTCGTATTCGTACGAATAATAAAATCATTATTCGTTTCGATTCGTCGAATATTCGATTCGATTCGAAAATTTTTCTAAAGCTTATAAAATATTTTGCAAAAAAATTTTTACAGATGTTTAAAGATGACACTTTTAAGGATTCTCTAAACTAATTATAATTACAATATAAAAATTTATAGAAAATAAACGAAATAAAACCCAATGATTTCATATAACGTTAACCAAACAAATTGACCAAAATATCCGATTTTTAGAATTAGAATTGCTTATAAAAAAATATTTAAACTATTTCTTCAATCTAATATTCAAATTTTATTAAAATTTTCTAAAAATCTACAATAATCTCATTTTATAAAAATAGAAAATAATACACAAAAATATAAAATTATAGTAAATCCGAATTTGATAATATCCAATTTTTTAAGCATAAAGTCTTTCTAATAGTTTCCTCCTTCAAAGACATTCTATTTTTCATTATCATATTTGTTCCTATTGAGAACAACCGCTCACATGAAGCCCAAGATCCCTGAATTGACAATATATCAGTTGCCATTTTCGACAACACAGGAAAACGATCCCCATGCAATCTTTACCATTCTAAGGGACTCTTATTTCAACTGATTCTTATTTCGTTAAGATATCTCTCCACCTCACATACTGATGCGATGTTATTTTGTTTAAAAATTCTATCCATGTTCGACTGTACTATTGGGTTAACTGATGTTGATTTGATATTATATTTTATTTTGTAATCATTATATACATCTTTAAATTTTTCTAATAGATTTGTCGTGTCTATGTTATATGTAGTTGGTAGTTGCTCAAAAAATTCCATTTTTAGTCTAGGATCCAGTATTGCTGATATTATAGTGTGAATATTTGTTAAGTTATAATAAGTTTCTATTTTCTCAATCGCACTGATAGAGTTTATAAAATCGAGATCAAATGAATTTAAATGTTCGATTAAAGAAACATAGAAAGGGATGACAAGATTTAGGGTAGGATATGTGTCACCACATATATCTTCGGTAAAATCAAAAAAAGTTATTAATTTGTTTTGTATGTTTATCAAAGTAGTCCAATCATCCTGATAAAAAATAATAATTAGTAAATAAAATTAAATTACTTCGCTCAGTTTTCTTTCTTCAATATCAGATATATCATCATATATTTGAGTCACAACTTCATCAATAGCCCTTCTCATTTTAATAGCTCTTTCGACCATTAAATAAAAGCTATTCCATCTGATGGATGTGTCTAATTTTAATTTTAAATATTTCATAGGAGGAAGTAGGGAGGAGCACACATTTTGCATAATATTTGTCTTTGTAAAAGAATTGCGAATAATCTTTATGATTGTTTTTAATTTTGATACTTGCCTGTCTACTTTCTTAAGTATTTCCTGTACTACTAAATTGAGTACATGTGCAAAACATCGCACATGTAAAATTTCACAATTTGGGTGTTTTATACGAAGAATTTTTATGAAAGTAGAATTAGAGCTAGCATTATCGCAAGTAATTGCTATCTTACTTATGTCGATATTATAATTTTTTATAATTTGAGAAAACTCTCTATAAATATTTTCACCAGAATGCGAATCAGTAAATGGAACTATATCCAATAACAATGATTTCATCTCCCATTTTTCATCAATAAAGTGGCAGGTTAACTCTAAAAATGATACATTAGTAGGGCTTGACCATATATCAGTTGTAAAGTTAATTTGGCATTTTAAATTATTTATAATTATTTTAACTTTATTGAATTCTTTATTAAAAAATTCATTCATATATAGTTTAATTGACGGTATTGAGCATATTTTTATTTCAGGATTTAAAGCTCTAACGAAGGACTTGAATTCCTGAGTGGCGAGAATTTTAAAAGGTATATTTGACTTTAGCAAAAATTTTAATAAATAATGCTTAACATCATCAGCATTTGTTTTGGAATAAATAATGCTTAACATCATCAGCATTTGTTTTGGGTATATCATTTAAATAGTTTCTAATAGTATTATTATTTTTTGATGAAATCTTTTGTTATGATTAATTAGTGCTGACGTAGTTTTTTTCTTGCACATTATCTCCACATTGCATATTTTACATTTAGCTGTTTCTTTTTTAGCATCATGGAGATAATGATTCCATATTAAAGAATTTTTCCGCCTAGCATTAAAAGGTTCAGTTTGATCAGAGATTGATGTAGATCTTGAACTATTTGAGGATTGACTATGTCCTTCATCACATCTTCTTCCATCAAGATTTTCTAATTGATCTTTGAATATATTTTAACATTATATCATATAAAATCCAAGTTTACCATCCTTCCTAAAATTCCAGATTAATGACACATTAGAAGCTGAAAGAAAAAAAACAGTAAATTAATTAAACAGTGGCATAGGCATGGGGGGGGGGGTCTTTTTTTAAAAAATAAAATTATTTTAATTTACTATTTTTATTCCTATTATGAATTAGCAAAACCTTAGAGAAAATTAGACCTTTCTTTATAAATTCAAATCAAAAATAGCAATATGATAATATTAGTTTTAAATAATATTTATTTTTGTAAAATAAATTCTTAGTTATAACATTTATATAATTTTTGTATTAATTCTTAAAATTTATGGAAATACTATTTTAATCAAAGTACAGTGTATTATTTATATATTTTTTTAAATTTATATTTTATGTAATTGTTAAATTACATTTTTTTTAAATAGTTTTTATATAATAAAAATTTTAAAATAATCTATATAAAATATATACATTTTAAAATTTATTTTAAATATTTGCATAATATATAACAAATTTTAGAGAGTATTTCAATATAGATTTTATTTATTTTATAAAAATACTTTAGTAGCATAAATTTCCTTTATTTAATCATGTATTTATTTTTATTATTAATATCATTTTATTAGTTAGAGGTGAAGGTGATTATGACAAAATAAAATTTTTAAAATTATAATCTATTTAAAATATCTACATTTTAAATATTTGCATATAAAATATAACAAAATTTTAGAAAGTATTTCATTATAGATTTTATTTAATATATAAAAATACTTTAGTAGCATAAATCTCCTTTATTTAATTATTAATATAATTTTTAGAGGTGATTATGACAATGTAATAGAGGATGAAAATATTAAAATGCACTATCTGAATTAGATTGTCTTTAAAATTTGCCAAAAATAAGGTGAAAAGGATTTTCCTAATCAAATAATAAGAACTAGTCAAAAAAATTTAGTTATTTATCTGCCAGGAGCTCGAGAATATGGGAAAGAGGCACACTCTATAAAAATGTTTTGACTTGTTCATAACATCAAAAATGATTAAAGAGAAACAATCAAAATAAAATAATTATATTTTACTTTGAAGCTTTTCCTTTTCTTCCATTAAACTTTTTCAGCAAATATAACTTGTTATGATTTGATTTGATATTTGATAATAGGAAATAAAATAAAACGAAATGATATCCACTAGGAAAATTTAATTACTTCTTTTTATTTTACTTGCAATAAAATATTTGCGAATAATTACGAATATTTATATATAAATAATTTCGAATAATACGAATAATTTTCCTCATTATTCATATTCGATTCGAAATTTCGAATCGAATAATTGTGTTATTCGTATTCGTAAAATACGAATCGAATCGAATATCAAATAACAAATAATTCGTTTTAGGCCTATTTATAAGTAATAGTAAGATATCGTATTTTAAAATAATCTTAAAATATGCGATGATACTGTAAATTTATCACTTTTTTACAATTTTAACGCTTATTTTTTACCTTTAAATTCGATATAAAAATTTGGAATATCTTGAAAGGAGCTTATAGCTTATGGCCTATCTACCATGTTTAGCTCGTTCTTTAGTTCTATCGTATCAAGTGCCTCGCTATCTAGAAGTTTGGTTCAAGAAAGTGTAGGAGGTCAAACTCAGGTCAAAATATATAAATATATATGAATTTTAAGATATTGTTACTTAATGAATTGATTTATTACCTTCTTCAGTTGCCTAAAATTTTTTATATATATGCAATGAATCTATTAACCTTCGTCCAAAAATGATACCTGAATTTCTCTAATACTATTAGATATGTTAATGATAGATGCGTTTTTAAAACTCAGATATTTACTTATATTTAATGTGCCAAAATTTAATTAGATAACTGGAGTCGTTTCATGTATACTCCTCCTGGCCGTTATATTAAAAATTGGTTCAATTTTCAAGACGTTACCATCGGTAATATTAGATTTAAAATTAATTAATGTAATTTTTTTCATGACATATTTTTTAGTCAGTTCTATCAGCCATTATAATAGTTGCGTTAAGAGGGATGTTTTATCAATTGAAAGATATTCGATTTCTATACAAACGAAACAAGATAGATTTGGTTAGTTTTAATTACCGTTGATTTTTTAATAATAATTTAAGATTAAAGGAGCCAATCCTTATCTTTAATAAAACCAATCCCAAAAATATAAAAATAGAATAAATAAAAATAAACCAATTTTGGCTCAGAAACGATATATTTAGCGTTATTATATTTAATATTATTATATATATAATATATAGGTAATGCCAATTATTTTAAATTAGCTTCTTTTTTTTTATCTAGCATTGTTAAGTATCATAAAATTTTTTAGCCTTCTGTTTAACTATTCAAAATACTATTTTTTTTCCTGTATGTATTTTTTTGTAATTAAAAGTCAATATTCTTGGTGACTCTACTCGCCACCGTTTTTTTAGACGTCGATGTCGGCTTAGCATTGGGTGTAATTTACGCACTTTTGACATTAGTCGTTCGTACTCAAAAGTTAAATTATTTTCATCTATTATAAATATAATTTAAGACATAATACTCATTTAATATATTTTTTAAAACTAATTATGTGTGCCAAATAATAAAATGATGTATATAAAAGATTTCCTAGAAATAAAAAATCTCAATATTGGCATATGACATATTATAATCTAACTAAAATTTTAAATTAATAAATTTTTATTAGAGCTGAGCCAATATTTTTGTCTATATTGGCACAAGATAAGCAATAAATTTTTAATGCATAATAACCATATTGAAATATTAATAAACTTAAAAATAAGTTATTAAACAAAAAATATTTTAATGAAGAGTCATTATCAGCAAATGAAAAATTTATTCAGGATCGAATCGGCAAAAAATAAGCTGATTTATACTGACTTCTTCTTAAAATATTTTTTGTTTGATAATTTATTTTGAAATTTTATTAACATTCCATAATGGATATGCATTAAATATTAACAGTCTATCGTCTGCCAAAGATGTACACATTTAGAAAATCAGGTCATTTTAATATCGGTACGTACCTAATTTTTATCATCGATTTGGCACCTTTTTAAAGGTAAAAAAGGATTTAAAGCTAACCACTTGAATTAATTACATTTGAAACCAAAAATAAAAAGATGTGAAAATATTCAAGAAGATAGTTTTATCCTAATAATATACTATATTTTTTTAAAACTCTTCTTATTTTTTATATAGTCACACCAAATATTATGCCACATTGTAACAATAAATTATTTTAAGAGATTAGAAAAATTTCTCAAATTTAAACGTATCCATTATTTTATTTTTTTTGTATTGGAACCTATTGTTTTTAAAACAGGAAACAGGGAATATGATAAACATATAATTATCTTCACGCTCTATTTATTGCCAGAAAAAGATCATTCTTATTGTTTATTAAGCTTACTGAACATTCTTGTTACCCAAGATATGCCGCATGAAAGTTTAATAATACCGATTTATTAAATGATATTGGTTTAAAAAAAAATAGTCGCATGGCCTCTACCTGTTATTGTAATTTTTTTATATAACCTTGGTTATTGATCACATACCTACTCCTGTAAATATAATAAAATTTGCAAATGAGGATATCTTTATTTTTAAAAATATTCCACAGGCCCAAAATTATCGTATTAGGCAATATATCAGGCACGGAATTATACGTTGATTTGAAGAAATATCCTAAAGTAATGTATTTAATTTTTTTAAAAATTTTCTTACTGCATCCAAATTTTTGATTCGAGACCAGATTTTACATATTGAGATCCATACAATTATATGATTAAATTACCCTATTTTTACCAGTTCATTCATAAGTTTATTATCTATAATTTTAAAAAATATCGATAAAATATTTTTGTTAATTTTTAATATTAACAAAATAACTTTTAAAAAGTACATTAATACATGAAAATTATCCAAAAGGATAGTGTGCTCAGATATATTTGTCGTATTCCATATTAAGTCAACCAAAAAAACTCGACTCTCAACTCGACCCCCCTTCGATTATTTTTAGAAATTGTATGTTTTGATAGCATAATAAAAATTTTAAGTTTTATTATTCAAATTGGCTAAATTTATGATATATACCTCTTTAAAAACCAAAAATTTGAAAATGTACTTCTAATTTTAAATTTCTCACAAAATAATTAAGCTGATAATTTTATTTTATCATAAAATGTTTATAGTGAAAATCCGCTTATTGAATAACCGGAAATAGGATACCGGAAATGGTTATATAAAAAATATTATTTTTTTACATTTTTTTAGATAGACATGATATCTAAAAATGTACAAAATTTAAAAAGTGATAATATATTTGAATAATAACATTAAAACTAAAATCAAAACCCTTTTATTATGCGTTTTTACCAAATTGTATTATATTGTTTAACGCAAACTCCTAATTTGGAAGTGCTATAAGGAATAAATAATAATGATTTTGTAAAAAGTAATAAAGTAACAACTATGATGATAAAAATGGGCTCAATAATCTCTTCACCCCACCTAAAGATAGATATTCGTCCTGCAAAAAAATTTCTTCTTAAATTCTAAATTTTTGACCTGAATGAATGATGTAGTTTATTTTTCATTGCCCGATAATTAATTATCTTTGTGATCGTCAGAAATATATTTTCATTGTAATGAATTTTAAATTTCTTATAATTAAGTATCAAACAAAATAATTATACTTGACATAAAACCATATTAAAAACTAATTCCAACAGCAACAGCTGTTATTTTTATTGATATATTTTGCATAGCCTTTTATTTCTTACCAAAATAATTTAAATGTCTGCAAATATTCAACCTCTTTCCTTTAAAATCACATTCAATACGTTACAATTTTAGACGAGTTTCTGTGAATGATACAAGTTAATTCTGGCTTATCAAATCAAAAAATTTGTAATTCTTGCCGGAAAAAATTAAAAGGCTATTCAATAAATTCCATCTTACCGTTTACTCCTACGATCCCTATCTCATTACCTTCTATTTCTAACTTACCTTTTACCTCAACCATTCCTGAAACATTTATGAATCTGAACCTAATCATCCATGCAATAATGCCAAATCTTATGCAGATTTTCATACTTATTGCAAATTTAAATGAAACTCTGCCATTTTTAGTAGAGACACCTATTAAAAAAAAGCGTAAATAGAATAAATTGTGCTTTTATTAATTATATTCCTGAAAGAAAGATTTGATAAGATTTCAATAATTTTTTATTTATCTGATGGAAGCGTCTGTTACCCAGTAGGAAAACAAAAAAAAATATACACCTCTACAACCATTATAATGATTTTGGGATCAAGGCAGAATAACATGGGTTGGGTCGGGCCTTGGAAGTTTTTTAAAATATATCTAAATATATCAATTTTATGTTAAATTTTTATTTAACAACTTCACTTGACAAAATTCCTTGCGATAGTTTAGGGGAAATTATTAAGACGTTAACGGCTAGAGCAAGTCTGCAGCGTTCTTATGATAATCATATACAACACATTTGGATTTATATAATTATGCGAGAATTAATATCTCAGGGATTAATTATATAATCGTTAGCTACGTTGAATATTTAAGCATGGAAACCAATCTTGAAAATAGATTTTTTTTAACAGCCAAGTGAGTACCCGGAACACAAAAATTTTATGCATTTATTCCCTTGGAAGGAAAAATGAAAGTCAAATTATTCAAATTCATTCGATTATTTAATGTATGATATTATTAATTAATATGTTTATTATAATATTAATTTTCCATTGTTATTTATCTAATAAAATAATGAGGTAAATAAAATTAAAAATATATGACACAATATATACTATTGATCTTCATATACCCTAATTTTTTTTAACCCGGCCTAAGGATTTATAAAAAAAAGTATACTTAGCCCGATCCCAAACAAATTTTTGTTTTATTTGTCCCGAAAATTCCGACCCGAAATAAAAAATATTTGTCCCCGGCTCGAATTTTTTATATAGAAATTATTATTTTTTTCAATAAAATTTTACATTTCATTGAACAAAATCAAGTTTATGATCATTCTACAAACTAATAAAAAATATCGGCTACTTGTTTCTTAAAAAAATTTTAAAAATATTTATTTTATTTAAAATTTAAACCCGACCTAGTCCAAACTTTTTTTAAAACATATTAGGCCTGATCCAGATATTAATAATGTTTACTCACCTATTTTTTATATGTCTAAATTTTAAGTTTCCTTTTTATTTTAAAAATTAGAAAAAATTACTATATATATATATTTTAATATAAATGATATTTACAATATTAAGATGCGAAAAATTTTGGACCAGTGCTTGTCCCATTATAGAATTTTGCACAAATAGGATCTATAAAATAAATATGAAAGATTTCGATTTTCTATTTCCGGTTTTTGGTAATGTATTTCAATATAATACATTTATATCATGTTAAAAAACTATGATAGAGCTATTTAATAAAATTTATCATAATTATTTTTTGAGATATTTGTAATTAAATATAGTTTTTGGATGTTTCGCGTTTCTAAAGTTGGCAATATCTCAGGAAGTAAACTGAGTTAGGATTAAAATTTTATATTTTTACTAGTTAGTGTATATACTACCATCATACAAATTTAAAATAAAATCGATGGGGGTTGGGTTGAATCTTCAGTTGATTTGATATGGGATACAACATATTTATATATACTGAGAATTATGGAAATTATTTTTTAAGCGATGGAGAATTCCATATCAACCAAACAAATTAGATTCTCAACCCTTCCCCCTTAATTTTTCTTAAATTTTGCTTATTGGTAATATATACTATAACTAAGAAAAAAGTGAAATTTTACCTCCCAACATTGTTTACCCGCTAAGATATGGGTGTTTAAAGCGCGGAAAAATGGTACATATTTGACAAAATGTGCCTCATTTTTTTCAAATATCTCGAGATTATGTTAGAGAAATAATTTAATTATTTAAATTTTACTATGTAGCTTAATATTAGTTCTTTATTATGTCATACAAATAAATATGATAGAAATCTGATTAATATCGATAAATAAATGTATAAAACCGGAAATATCCATAGAAAAAAAGGTATTTTTTTCAAATTTATTTTTCTGTGTATAGATATAACACCGCTTAATTGTACTAAATCCTAGACTGGGATGAACATGGGTCTAGGAGTTATGACCCTTTATATGGCTTAAATTGATCAAATTTAACATAAATATCATCATTTAATGAAAGTAATGAAATAATGTTTATATAAAAATTATGTCTATATGATAGGCCCTTTTTTTATCTTTAATAAAATTTTTGAGAAGTGGTTATGATAATGTGGTTTATTTAACACTTGACTTGTCAAAATAATTCCAAACATTTATAACTTTATTTGTCAAATTCATAATTATATTTAAAATATATCATATGTTAAATCATCCAAAGAATTTGAATAAATTTTGACTTTCATTTTGCTTTCGTCTAGTGGAATAAAAGCATGGAACTTTTCTTTTTGTTCTAAAAAAACCTGCTTTCAAGATGATTTTTCATGTTATTATATTCATTATTGCTCACAAATAAGTTAAATAAATCCATTGTTGTCAATATGTGATTTTCATATGGGCGTTGCAAGCCTGCTCGAGCTGTGACCTGTTTAGTAAACCACCCTAAATTGTCGCAGGAACCTTTACCATGTGCGGTTGCAAAAAAATGCCACTCCGCCTTTATCCCAAAATCATTTACATGATTTTAGAGATTAATGAAGTTTTTTTAATTTTTATATTGGGTTATTGACCCATCAGAAAGATAAAATCTTAGCAACTCTATCAAATCTTTCTTTCAAGAATAGGATAGTTTTTGTTTGAAATAAATAAAATGCACATGCGTTGTGCTAACAATGTTTTATTATGTTATCCTACGGTAAAAAATCATAAAAGGGTGGATAGTGGCTTGATTATTGGTCCAATGAAATCCTTGTGCAAGGTCCTGCACAAAAAATGCATAGTTTTCTAAAAAGTCCGCAATAACTAAGAATTAGCCAACTTTTAAAATGAATTTTAAAAAGTTTTGAAATAATGATAGTTGTGAAGCTATAAACGAATGAAGAATCAAATTGTTTATTTTCAATTAAATAATCTACCAATTTCGTCGGTGGATTTTGACAGTGTTTCGAGTTTAGTTCGATCAACTGCTAACCAATATTTGAATGTTATATAATCTATTAAATTCGCGTCAAATAATATATTAAGTCTTTCTTTTATTTTTGAAGATTCGGGGCAAAATTTACACTTATTTAAATAATATCCTGGCTGGGCTGGATTGCAAAGACTTTGCACAATGCAATGTTTATAATCGTTGATAGGATGGAAAAAAAGTTAAAGAGCGATACATTAGGGGGTTACGAAAACCATAATATCAAGGTAAATTTATCGATTAAATGTGATGAAATTTGTTGAATTTTAATTATGATAGATTATTTTATGCTAAATGAAATATTTAAAATTTATTTTGTAGTAATTTCGAGACAAAATTTAACTAAAGTGTTAAATAAACTACATTATCCTAGCCACTTCCCAAAAGTTTTGTTCAAGATAAAAAAAAGTAAGGGCTATCATTTAGACATAATTTTTAAATAAATATTTCATAACTATTCATTAAAAGATGATATTTATGTTAAATTTGATCAATTTAAGCCATATAAAGAGTCTTAACTCCTATACCCATGTTCAGAAAAAAAAATTTGAAAAAATATCTCTTTTTTCTATGGCTATTTTCGGTTTTATACATCCGGTTATCGATATTAATCAGATTTCTATAATATTTATTTGTATGACATATTAAACAACTATTATTAAGCTACATAATAAAATTTAAATTATTTTTCTAACATAATTATTTCTCTAGATATTTGAAAATAAATGAGGTGCATTTTGTCAAAATATACCATTTTCCCGCGCTTTAACCATATCTTAGCTGGTAAGCAGTTTTGGGAGGCAAAATTTCATTTTTTTCTTAGTTATAATATATACTACCATTATGCAAAATTTAGGAAAAATTGAAAGGGGTGGGTTTAAACCCTGGTTGATTTGATATGGAATTCACAATACATATTTTAATTTATTTATTGGATATATATTTTAATTGACAATTTGTTAAAATTATTACCTCATTTTATAGACAATATTATCTTATTATTTGAAAAACATGGGGTTTAAATGCATATTTTTGGGAAATCTAACAGGATATACAATCTTTAATATTTTGATATAAAATAGGGTTAGTTTGTAAGTAGTGTTGTTAAACTTCTCAGCCGAATCTACTTAACCAAGATTCTGGTCAAGTTTTAAGTAAGATCTTATTTTAAATCTAGCAGCTCAATAAGTTGCATGAATCGGTTCGAGTTTATTCTTGAGGTATTTTGTTTTAATCCAGGAGGATGAAAATTTTTTAAATTTTCAACTGTTTTAGACCATATTGCAGGTTTGTTGAATAAGAAGGGAGTTCTAAGACCACCGGGTATTGTAATAAAAAACCTTTACAAGGAAAATATAAAATTTTACTACCTTGTGTCCTATTCATAGTTATGCAAGATTATATACATAGATTGTATAATGTTACATTTTATAACGTAATTTTTATTACAACTTTACGATTGTATAATGTGTTATATTTTATATCGTAGTTTTTAATCATTTTATTTTTATTTGGGAAAGAAATGTTGATAATCAAAAACAATATTATATTATTATTTATTATCATATATTATTTTTTTTATTACACCTTGTTTTGGGCGAGCGAAAGGTATTGGAATTAGAAGGGAGTTTTGGGCATTGGAAGAATATGATCCTGATATAATTTTTTCTTTAAAAGAATATTAAGAAAAATATTTAAAAAATTCAACCATTATGTTTTGGACAGAATTAAAAAAGTTCGTAGAAAGTTATTTAGAAACTTTACGCAATAGTGTACAAATAATTTTTAAAGCGAAAAATAAAATCCGTCATTTGCGAAAACTGAGGTCTAGCTTGAATACCGGAAAAAATTATGCTAAATATAAAATCTTATTTTATACAAATTTATTTTCTATGGTATTTAATTTAATTCCATAAAATTTTTAGTATACAGTTGAATATATACTTTATGACATCTCTAAATTTTTGATAATCTGAGAGGGCTAAGATGTTTGAATGCTACAAAGTTGTGACACTTTAGGGGAGCTACTTAGTACATGTGAAATATATTTTTAAAAAACCATATTTAAACGCTGAATATAAAAGATTTACAAGATTATTTTATTTTTAAAAAAATTATAAATATTGAATTAGAATTAGTTGGAAACGAAATAACCTATAACCATCCTAAAATAGCTTTTTTGTCTTTAGTACGTAGTTGATTGGTTTTTATTTTGTTTTTTGGTACCAAGACCAATGAGCAAAAAGTAATTAGATATTTGATTAAATTTATTATTAAAAGTTAATTATAAAAACAATAAATAAGTGGAGGAATTGTATACTAAGAAATGCTAATTAAGGAGTGAGTGGGGGTATCTATGAGGGTTCTTTAGAAGCAGATTATCATAAGTACTACATGAGGAAACATTGGCAGGGAAGGCATAAAAGATGGTCCAGAATGTATATAAGTTATATAAAAAAATAAATAGAAATCTACGGTTCTAAAGATTTAATTATACCAAACTATTTCAGATTCTATGTAGAATAGTGTTAAATAATAGAGATTTCGGTGGAAATTTTATATTAACATTTTTTTTATATCATTTCAACGTTACATTTTTTTTGATATCAATTTGTATTTAAATTTAATCGGTGAAAATTTTATATTAATATTTTTTTTATATCCATTTTAAAGTTGCATTTTTTTTAATATCAATTTGTATTTCACATAATTGGTTATTTTTTCATTGTTAAAAAAAAGATATAAAAAGAAAAATTGTTTTAGGTTAAAGACAGTTAATAAAAAAATGTAATTTATAAAAAATAAAATAATAGAAAATTATGATTTCCAACAATATATATAAGAAAATTCTGTCTAAATACATCATGGTAATAATATATAACAGAGGATTCTATAATCGAGTTTATTAATAAAAATTTTTTGACTGTATTAAAAAAAATTGATCATTAGAAAATCTGATGTTATATCCTGATTTATAGTATAATTCGCCTAGTCATATATAAAGTTTAAAAGTGAAATGATTTTTATTTATGAAATAGTAAATATAAAATATGGTAATAAAATCATTGGGGGCTGATTAATTTTTTACAAGAATTATTATTTTAAGAAAAGAATAAAATATTAATATAATCAAATAGTTATATTTTTTTCTGTGCAGATTTTTATATTATTATTATAATAACTATAGGCCTATCCCATAGACAATGTCCTCATATATTCTTTCCAGTGCTTCCTTTACTATGCTAATTCCAATATCTTTCGTGATCATTTATACAAAGAATTCAAAAAGGCTTCCCAAGAGCAATACACTTCTATCAGAATAGGCATTAAGGAACCTAATAAAAACGGGAATGAGCCTAGAAGATCCATAGGTAAACTAGGGCTCGACACTCACGATATGAAAGTCATGGACGCTAGTCACTGCGTAAAGAATTATTTTGATTGAATTAGTATTTAAATTTTCAAAGAAAAAAAATCAGCTTATATATTTAGATAAAAATTTTTATCCGCCTTAATTTTTTTTACACAAATATTTCGAAAAATTTACCCGAAATTTTAAAATTAAAATATAAAGAATTAATAAAGGCAAGTGATCTTTTTAAAAAAGGTAAGTGGGTAGCTTATTGAGACATATTTTTTATGTTTTTCCTTCTTTTGTGCAATCCCCTGCTATACCAACATTTTTCTGGATGGGTGAGGTAACCCCTCATTCACAGTTAGGGCCTGAATTCACGGCGAAATATCAAAATATGCTTTTTGTATTCCTCGCCTCGGATTCCCGTAACTGTGAATGAGGAGTTAGGTTAGGGTTAAAAGCTACGGAGATATCGGTTGATGTTTATTTAATTTTAAGAAATAATACCTATTTATCAAAACACGGCTGACAATAAACAAGAATTTCTCAATTATTTAATTATTTTATATATAATACATAATCATTTTCCAGTTTTTTAAGCTTTTAATTCTTAACTAAAAATCCATTTTCTATAACCATTATATTTGAAATCATTAAACATATTTACTTGATCGTAATGTAATAATTGAGCATGCTGATTAAATAAATCCCCACAATAAATGAGCGAACTGTTTACGGCCTTTGCAGTATAGTATGTTAATGATCATATTTATATACCGCAGATTTGGTATGGTATAGAAAAAATATTTTTGTATGGCAGAGCTATTAAATAAATGAGACTTATCCTAGTTTACTTAATGCTGCTCTGCTTTTACAAAATTTGCAGTGTTAAAGAAATGAGCTAGGATGAAGCCTTATCATCAAATTTCAATAATGAAAGTAAATAATGCTGGCATATTCTAAGAAGGTTTGAAATAAATAATAAAGGATTTTTTTATGATTAAAAATCTAAACCAGATATTATATTCTCTTGGCCTATTTAATAAAATTTAATGATTTATTTTATGAATAAATTTTATTCTTAAATAGTTTAAAATTAATTTATTCTCGGTTGCTGACTCGTCCATTAAATATTAATTACTCAGTCTCTTATATTTTATATGAAGGGAAAGGTTATAAATTTGACTAACAATTTTAAAAAAAATTCACTAGATGACCTTGGCAGTAAAAATATTTAAGTTGACCTACCAAACTTTGCCAAAGCGCGCCGACTTTGAATGCATATATTTAAAATGTGCCTTACTAAGAGATATTTTAAATAATAATGATTAAATTGTCTTATATTCAAAAATAATGGAAAAATTGGGTAAAGTGAATAAAATAAAATTAAAGGGGAAAATACAATGAAAACTAACCGCAATTTAGGTTTTTCCCGTAATATAATTTAAATCTTTTGAACCCAGACCTAATCCTTTTAAGAAGGGATGGATTAACACTGTTTTATTAGTAAAATTCCATGAGTTTTTGGGTTAAAAATTTGAAAATGTCATTGAAATTTATAAAGAAGTTATAATGCAAATTTTCTTCTATCCAAAAAGAAAAATTAAATTTAATCTTGGAAGATTTACAGCAACAAAGTATGCACTTTAGTTATAAACTTAGGGAACAGGGAGTTCTCCATTCGCTTTAAACATAAATTCGACAATTAAAATCATCAAATTTTTGAAAAATAAATATTAGTCATTCACAAAATCTCCTTTAATCACTCACGACTCTGAAAATAAACAAACATCTGCCAATGCGACCCAAAACTCTCCTAATAATGCCACAAATAATGTTAAACCTAAATCGGGTCCGCCTCATAACAACACAAGCTACGATGAAAGTCCAGGCGAAGATGAGACATCGGATGGAGAAGCACAATATATTTTAACGCGATATAATAGCCTCGTAGAAGATGGCACAAAGGGTATCATTAAATCGATGTCGGATCGGCCTAAGCAAAAAAAGCAGATCGTTCCAAATGGTGCTGATCTAGATTACAAGATACAGGAGGAGATACCTCAGTCAAAGGTATTTGCATATTTGACAATTTTAAGTAAAAAATATTTGATAACTTTTGCTGCCCTGTTTATCATTTAGTGACAAAATTAGTTATTTATATTCGATTATTATTTTTAGCTGATATTATAATTTAATTGTAAAAAAAAAGAACATACGTCATATAATTATCGATTTTTCTTACATCTCATTCGTGGACACGGTTGGTATAGAGACGCTGACACAAGTTTTAATTTTAAATTATGAAGTTGTTTAAAGTTTAATTAAAGATGAATAAATTTGTTCAATTTATTTTATTTAGATTAAAATAGAAGTTGATATTTAGTCTTTAATAGAAAATTAAACATGTAATTAGGTCATTAAAGATTTCAAGGAAGTAGGTGTGGATATCATCTTGGTTGAGTGTAATGATAACGTCATGAGATGCATGGAAAGGTTCACGTTTTTGCAGTCCTTCCCACCCGATAAAATTTTTATCACCATACACGATGCTGTTTTATGGATAGAAGATAAAAAAATATTACGATAATCAAAAATAATATATGTTATAAAAAATATATTGATGAAATCTAAAATTATTTTTTCTATTTTCTCTTTCATAATAATGCCAAATTTTGATATTCTTTTTTATTGAAAATTATATTTAATGTGACAAATATAACTTTAATTATATAATCAATCATATTAATTGCATCTATTTATATAATTTATCAAAATTATTGCCAAACTTATATGCTCGACTTTATGTTTATAAATTATTTTATAATGTTTTATCAATTTTAGTTTTAAATATAACAAAACAAATTCAATTTGTGATTTAAGCCTTTTTATAAAATAAGCCATATCTATTCACATATTTATGCATGTTTTTAAATATTTATTTTTCGAAATCTCCATTTTGAGAAAGTATTTTTTTTAAAAAAATGCTAAATGTTATATTTAAAATAATTTGTATTACTTACTATCAGATGTTAGTACAATTTATAAATTATTAAAAATCTAGCTAATAGCCCGTCAAGAATGACGGGGTATCTGAATTTTATAAGATTAATAAAAAATTTGGAATTAACTCTCATCAAAATAAGGTAAATTTCTGATTCACACCTCATATAGGCTTATTTCTGATTTATACATTATCAAATTAAAGAGAATACTAATTCCTTGTTATTTTTGTTGGACATCAGCTAGTAATCATATAAAATGCAAATATTTATTAGATTGTGGGAATGGTTCTTTTCTTAAAGGTTTTTTTTATTAACAATGGAAGCCACAAAGCACTCCTTGGTAAATTGATATCCACAGAGTTTTGAATATTTACATCTTCTCATGATATGGATCCTTCTTCAAGATGATCTTTATTATAAGAAAATATATTATGATACAGGTACAGGGGTTAGGCCATATTTTAATTTTTTTAAATTTACCCAGGCTGGGCCTAAAAATTTTAAAGATACCCAGGTCGGGATATTTTAAATAGCCATTATTATTTATAAAATTGAAAATAAATATAATATAATTTGAAAAAATTCAGACCGGGCCATGCCAAATTTTTTTTATAAAAAAGTCTAGGGCAGGCTGTGCAAATGGTACATACCGGTCTCTGATATATTTATTACCTTCAATAATATATAATCGGAACATATGAATTTTCATTATATTAATTTCATAAAATCTGTAAAAATTATATTTATGTGCTCAATAAAAAAAATATTCCTAAATGAATATTTATACATTTATTTGCAATTTAAAACCTAAAAAATTTATTCTTGCTAGATTAAGGTTTTGTCTAGCCTAAACCTGCCTATTCTGTGGATAGACTGAAAGCTAGTGGGTTGATGAATGGGAGGGTTAAAAAATATTTTTAAAACAATGGGTAGGTGAATTTGAAATATATTTTAGGCATGAGCAACAAATTTAAGTAAAAAAACATTAAAATAATACATAAAGAGCCAAAAGACCCTTGTTATTTATCATATATTATAGCGGAATCACATGGTCGAGTCAGACCTCCTATATATCATCCCACGAAGGACGGAACCACCAAATGATCTTTGCTGGGATTTGAACCCAAAACCATCGGGTTTGTAAGCGCTCCTCTTGCCGAGTAGGCCACACACTTTTCAAAATTCACGATTTTTTAAATATATTATAAATAAATTTGTCCAAATGAAAAATAAACAAAATACAAATTTGATAGGTACTACCTTAAGGCAATACCCATTATTAACCTAAGAATTCTAGTATAATATATGTTATGGTAGCTTAAATAAATGAATTTTTGATATGGTATGATATTATCATTGAACCGAATAAGTTATGGTGATTTTAAAATACTATTGGCTATTACGTTGTAACACTGTGACTGTGACACGGTTTTTATTTGTCTTATATAGAAAGATTATAGATTATTATTTATAGATAGGTATTATCATCTCTACAAGGATGGAACCACCAAGTTAGATTATGAAAAAAAAAATCTTTGCTGGGATTCAGACTCAAAGCCATCAGATTTGTAAGCGACGCTCTAGCCGATTGGGCCACAGACGCTTTTCATCACGATTTTTTAAATACATATTATAAATTGTGACACTGTGATTGTGACACGGCTTTTATATAGATTATAGATATTTAAATTCTTATTTTATTCTATTTGAGAAATTTTTTTATTGCACAAAAAAAAATTAAAAAATTACGATTTTTTGCTCTAGTATAACGAGCAGAGATTTATTGTGGGATCAGGCTCAGCCCTTGCTTTAATTTATTTTTAGAACTACTATTAAATTTCGGCAAAAGTTTGTTTATGGTTGTTAAGACCCCCGACTCCTATTCTCGACAATCTTTTAAGGATTAAATTTGATTTTCTAGTAAAAAAATGGATTAACTTAATTTTCAATTTTTTTCTCCTTAAATATGATAAGCAGCCATTTTGTTTTAATGTAAATAGTTTCTCAATACTTTCATATTCTAAAATTCATATTAAATATTATGTTACAATTATTTTGATCAAATATATGATAATATATCTAATGATATTAGAATTTATTAATATACTTTAAATTGAATTAGAGATAAAAACTATTTGTAAGCGTTAAAAACATTACCTTAAGACTTGTAGATGAATTTTTATGAATTTATCTTTAAAATACAGGGAATTGAAATTCTCATTCACAAGTCGAATATTGTTAATATTTAAAAATAAATAATAAAGCAAATTAGATGTTCATAAAAATTATAAATTTGGATACTTTAAATATTTTATTTATATTAGAGGTCTGCAAAACCCAACAGGTATTATATTTAATTTGGGCATTTTTTTTTCAGGCAGGTCGGGTTTGGAAATATTTATGTTACAATTTAGAATTTAATCGTGATATCAATAAATCAATATGTACTATTTTACAATTTTGATCATTATAGATTATTTCTTTTAACATTTAAATATCAATAAATTCTAGGGTAAATTTTTTATATTTTGATTTTTGAGTCGGGAATCTTGAAAATTGATTTTTCCTTGGGTCGAATCGTATTAAATAATAATTTGTCGCATGTCTAGACTAGCTAATTGATTCATACAAATATGGGTCAAAAAATTATCAATGAGCGAATGAGTTTTTCAAAAAAACCCAAAGAAATCTAAAATAGAATTATGTAAATTTTAAAAATTTATATCTGTTAAAATGGTGAATAAATTTTTTTAATATAAATATTATTTAGAGCTGTCCACGATGATAAAAAAAAACAGTTATATTACGTAGTAATGTACAGGCACGCACTATATTTTAAACGCGTATCTTAACTTGCCTTTTTTAAAAATGCCTTCTTTTTTTAAAAAATTACACCATTACCTTACCTTTTTAAAGTAACGTAATTGGTACTATGAAAAAAAGATTGCCTAAATTGTTTTCTTTTATTTTATAAATCGATATATGTCGTTATTTATTAGAATATGAAATCCATGGGAATTCGGAATTTCTCTATTTTAAATCATTTATTGGCGATTTTTTAAATCCGATATACCACGAAATGTAATCAAGCATTACCTATGAATTTCAGATAATTTTCGCTAAAAACTTTGTATTTTTTTAAAATTTATATGAAAAATTCATACAAAAATCATTATAAATTAAGAGTAATTTCTAAAATGTTTACGATAGATTCACGGAAATAAATTTCTGGTCAAATCAGATTTTAAAAATCAAATCGCTCCCTGTGATTAAAATCGAGAGATTCCGAATTCCAATGGGTTCTTTATCCCAATACGATATATAAAAATATTTATTACACAAAAATCAAAATAATTGATCAGATTTATTAAATATTCGATAAATATATTTCATAATTTCTTCTTTTTTTAAGCAATTTCATTAATTTTTAATATTAATTGTTTTTCAAAGTTTTTGATTCGATAACCAAGATCAACACTAATGTATTGAACTCCATTATAATAGGTGCTGAGGATCATAAAAAATGTAGTATATTTTATAAATATAGGATTAATGTTTTAAAATTGTTTAATAACGCGTTAATTTAATTCGTTACATTTTAAAAATGAGTCTAAAACATTTTAAAATCTAATAAAATAAATTAAATTTTTAAAAATACTGGATAGCTTAAAAACGTCGCATTTTGAAATTTTTGTAACTAAAAAGCATTAGGCCTTATTTATTCGTATTGCTGCATATTTTCCAAAAGTGTATTTCATTGTAACGCGCAGTCATTATTAACTTAACCCATTATTTGTTTGCTTTCAAAAAATACCCGACGATGCGCGCTTACTATAAACTAGGCCATATACTGTTTTCTAAAATTTCGTATTTTATTAAGGCTGTTTCTAAAATCTAAAAAATAAATATAAATAAATAAGTTTTGAAGAAAAAATTAACAAGAATTTTTAATGTAAAAATAAAATCATTTTTCAGTATTTATAAAAAGATTTTTTTAAAAAATAATAAATATCAATAAATTCGAATAAAAATTTATTCAAAATTTATTTTTTTTTTCTGGTCATGGGTTACTTTATTTGAATATTTACTGATATTATATGATGTCAAAATATATTAGCAAATAATTAATTTTTTAAAAAGGTAAAATAAATAAAGGGGAAAAATTGTAGAAATATAATTTACGGGAAAGGATAGGGGATAAAAAAAAAGGAAGCTTGGAAAATGGAAGGTTATTCAGTGGAAGAGATGAAGCTTAGATAGTTAGAACGAATGATGGCGGTAGCAAGTCTTTGGCGTAAGAAGAGGGATTCCTTAGGCTGGTCGGTTTTTTCGCAGATCCGTTTGCCCAAATCTTTGAAAAAACGTTGAGCTTTGCTACCGAAGGTGGTGAGAATGGTGCAGGCGATGGGTATGAATAAGAAAGAAGGGTCTAAGGAACTGTACTTTATGGTTTTGCGGGATTCAGCGAGGGCGAGGGCATCGACGTTATGGTTAGAAGGTGCGTTTGGGTCAATGCAGGTGAAGTCCCAAACCAGGAGCTGACCCCTTGACTAGGGGATCAAGGACATGCCGTCAGGACGTTTCCGTCGGTTCTGAAAATTCCGGTTGGTTCTAGTCTAGATGGAATTCCTCCTGATTTGAGGGCGCGTAAAATGATGTCATTGCATTTGGTGTGCCGTGAAAAGCGGCCACGACAAAAGCGACAATGGAGGCAGTGCCTACCCTTGCTGTCGACGCTGGTTTCGCAATGTTTGCATTGGTATGGAAGAACAATATCACAATTGAGCCGTATTCCAATAGCAAATCTTAGCTCGTCAGCAGTGAGCAACAAATCGAGGTTGTTGGAGGGTATGGTTTCCAGAAACTCGTAACCAGAAATTATTATTAATGCTGCCCATTTTTATAAATTTACTAACCCAAATAGCCATTTATATTATAAATATATTTTTTCGTGTCAGAAAAGGCATAAGAGTGCACAGGAACCTATGGTGCAAAAATGACTTAAAATTTAGAGATTCTGTAGAAAATAGGAAAATTTGGGAGAAAATAGGAAAAACATATAATTTGAATTATGATCAAGTGAAGAAGAAATTCTTAGCTGTAAAGGCTAAATTTAATAAATTATATGCTCTCAACAAAAATCTGGTAAAAATAAAAATTTTATATATAAATTATAAAATATTTTAAAAAAAGGTGCTGGTGCTATTAATATAAAAAGTAAGGATCTACTATATGTTTAACAATATTTATGGTTGAAAGAAAATGTTGATGATATTACCAAATATTATGAGTCAAGTTTTAAATTGTCACAGACACAGACAAATGTAAAATATTAAAAGACAAAAATATAAAATAATTTTTTATTTTAGGAATCTGAAAATTGCCACCTGGGAACAGTTTTATTTTATATTTATATATAATATAATAGGCTGCATCATACCTTAATGCAATTGCTAACCCACTTTTTAATGATTTAAATAGTTTTACTAATATTGTTTTTTATGTATGACTTTAAGGTCCATTCCTTCAAATATGTCAGAATATAATTAAAATCAATCTGCTAAATAGCTTAATCAACCTATTTACACATGCATTTGAAATGTCTCACGGAATTTATCAGAATATTAAGGTAAAATATCAAATATTTTAAAAAGTCCATGACCTCTACAATGAGTAATATATAACTGAATTCCAATCTTGGCCTATTTTAACTAATAAAAATAATAGAATCATATCTTACATTTTGAATATTGAAATTTTTATTTTAATTTTTATAAAACTTGTGTCCAAAATGTTTTGTTATTAATTTGTGAAAATTTTAAGGATTTTTTCAAAATGGATACAGCCTAAAGAATATATGGAAACTTAATATATCCTTAAAAATGTTAGAATTTCAAAAATGAATAAATTTGATGAAAAAATTACTTATGACCCACATGTATTTTAATGAGCCAAATGGCTCACTATATTATACCATATCAGGACATTCCTATCAAAAATTTTCGCTAATCACAAATTTAACATAAAAGCATACTTTAAATTTTTTTTATTATTACTTATAAAGAATTATTAAAATACAATAAATATAATTAACGAGATATATGTTATGGATCGGCCCCTTTTTTCTTGTATAATAGTCAACAATCTTTTTTATTTATCGAACCCCTAATTTGGTTTTAATCTATTTTTGTAAATTAAAGTATTCATTTCACACATTTTTATTTCAGAGGAGTTGGAGGAGGGGGGTACTAAATATATTTTACAATTGGGAAATTTGAAGGCAAAAATTCCTGTGCGAGAGCTTGGGATGTTTTTCTGTGCAAGCAAATTTAATCAGCGAGGCTTCGGCACTATGGTAAAAGTTCTTGAGAATTTATCTTAATTATTTGCGGATAAAACAAAACCACTTTTTTCTTGGTAAGATATACCTCAGGATGCCATCAATTTCTGAGAAAATTCAGAACTAAGAGAAATTAATCTCATCCTGAAACATCAATCTAACATCTATCATTATAAATTTGGCATATAATTTTTCTACTTTTCTCTTCAGTGGCATAATTTTTTCAATATGTAGGATCATTTTTTGATAGCATTTTTAATTTAATTTACAAAATCATCGTCCGATTTTGTTGGGCTAATAAAAGGCGTTTTTAATTAGATTTATTTGATATTTTGTATAATGATTGAAAATTTTGAAAAAGACGAGTGTCTAGTATAGTCCAACACAATGCAAACCCTATCCCATTGACCAAAAAATCTACTTTCTTAAATTATATTTTTAGTAGGATATTAAGTTCCAAAATTTTGTTTATAAAATACAAAATTTCATAAAAAAAATGATCGTTTTAGAGGTATAAAGATTTCAAAACGATATGGTTTTGGGCCTTCTGGTATATTTGTTAATTCTAATTAAAATGTATCCCCCACGAAGATATATTCCAAATATGTCCAAGTAATATCGGGTTATCAATCGTTTACTTAGTGTAATATTTAGATTAACTTGAAAGATTTCATTGATTATTATTACAAATAGAATCTGCCAAATTTACAAAATTTGGCCTTTCTCCTTAAAACAATTTTGGATGGCTAATACAGATTACAAGGTTCTAGTTGGGATAGAATATTTTCAATTTTTTCTCTACAATTTGCTACAGTTCCTGTTCCAAAATGTTTAAAATTGAAATTTTTTTATTAAATATTCAAAATCAGGAAAAATCGAGGGTATGGAATAAACAGGAATAGAAGAGAGAAAAGTCTCGTAATAAAAATAAAAACTGAATTTGTAACAACCCCTATTTCCACTCGAAATCTAAAGACATCCAAATTTATGGGGCAAATACACCTAATAGTACCCTCCCCTCCCCCCGTCCTTTACCTGGGAAATCATAGGCTTATGCTAGTTATTAATGAAACCAAGAACGGAGTATAAATATAAATACATAAAATCATATTGAAAAAATATATTTTTTAAATAGGAAAGACTAAAAATGATCAAATAAAAAAAATAAAAAAATAATTCATAAAAAGTTATACACAGATCCGACAAGCCCTTAATTTTTCAGTCAATAAAAGATAATATAAAAAATTATTGTGAATCGGGTTTAAGCTTTAATTTATAATTCCGCCTAAAATAATCATAAATATTTTGCATATGCAATGATAAAAAAAATACTTTTGAGATTAAAATTTTAATGAGTTTGTCGCAAGACATAACCAGAAATTATATTATATTTAGGTCATACGTATAAAAAATATTTTTAAAAATTAATCCTTTCCAGATTCCATTTCTAATTATATAAAATTGAATATTGTTGTAAACGAATGAAAATATTCGATAATTTGAATTTTAAAAGTATATTTAAAAAAAATACGTTATGAAGTTTTTAATTCAATTTTAAAACCTAAATGAAAATTTAATATTTGTTTTAAAAAAATATGTAAATTAAAATTTTTGACAAATAATAAGTAAGAAATAATTTTTTAACACTAATTTTCCATCGTAAAGGAGCTAAAAAATCCTATCAAATTTTATATTTTTAACCCCCTTGTGCCCACTTTCTTCCTCAAGTGACGATACTGACAACCGTGCTCTCAAAACATTTTCTCTTATTTGAGCAATATTTAATCGAAATTCATTTTCATAAGATGTTTACCATTAATAATATATAATTATCGATTTTTAAAAGGAAAAATTCAAATAATTTATACCTTTTTATATTTATATAAAGTCAAAAAAAAACCCATAAAATTATTTTTTCGTTTTTATCTTAATTGGATAAGGTGGTAGTAAAGAATGGCTATAGTAATATTAAATTGTTAAATATTTTTATAAATTTCATAAAAGATTTTTTGTAAAAATTTCCTTGAATTAAAGTCTGATAAAAAGAATTTGATTATATTATATATTTTTATTTTTAATAAAATGAAATGACTTTTATACTCTAGCCAATTCAGAAAATGAACAATAGTTAAGCAAATAAGCATCAGAAGCATCCGTATTAATGTAAAATATGATAATCGAATTTAAGTGTTCTTTTAATTTTTTTTCTAATTGTGAATAAATAATCAAAATAATTGTCAAAATACTTAAATTAGTACCAAAAATATTTTAAAGCTTTTAATATTTTACATTCCTAAAGATATTTTACAACATTTTTTTTTACAAACTCCATTCAAATTTTAGATGATTTTTATTTGGTAAAAAAAACCTTTAACAGCCTTTAAAAAAACGATATGTTGTTTAGACTTGTATCTTTCATAATATAAAAACCTTATATTTATTCTGAAATAACGAAGTATTTATTGGATAAAATAATATTTGTTCTGAACAGAAAATTTGCAATAATTTTAATTAATATCTTACGAAAAATCACAATCACTTAAATTACAGAAATTCAAATGTAAAAATAGGAAAAGAAAAGATGTAAGTTTTTATATTAATTATTAAAAAATTTGAAAATATCTTATAAATCGAATAGTTTGAATTATTTATAAGGTGAATCTTTAATTTTCTTAATAAATCTTAAAAAATTATTCATTAATAATAAAAGACTTCTTGAATATTCAACTATATTCCATAAGTCAAACAAATAAAATTCCTCTAAAAAACATTTTTGAAATGATTTTTTAAATTTTACGATGATTGCGCTATTGTTTTAGCTGTCGTATGTTTATTTTATAAAATTAAAATTCATTTAAAAAAAAATGAAACTTAAGAAAAGAAACAAGTTTAATAATTGTCATATTCTTGATTAAAGTAATGTATGATATTAATTAGACATTTAGAGGAGGCATTTAAAGTACATTAATTATATTTTAAATTTAAATTATAATAAATAGCTTTTAAAAATGAAAAAATATCTTTTGTCTTTTGTCCTTTTTGAATTAGCGTAATTTGATTTTGGTTTAAATATAAATATTCTTCGACCTCTATTATTTTCGATTCTTTTAATTAAACTATAAATATTTCAATGATAATTAGATGATTAAATTCAAAAATATGTAGGCAATTTAGTCATTTTAATTTTTCTCGGCTATAGATTAATCGATAGCCATCTATGGAGTTTAATTATTATCATTTACTCAAGTGGACCATGCTTATAACTCTGATAAACTATATTTATAGATAATTTAATTCGGCATGGCCAATTTTTTTAGGTATGCTTTGCCCCAATCTTTATGATGGAATTAAGAAATATATCTCAAGATGTTTATTTTTTCTTTATCCAGAACTCTAATAATATAATTACATTTTATTAATATTTTTAGGATTGGAAATGTGCAGCTTATTTATTAGCGGATAGTTAGTATGGTAGGTTTTATAATTGTTTTATTCGATATAAAATAAAAACTAAAAATATGTTAGAAAGTTTATATTTTCACAACAAAAATAATTGGCTTGTAATTTTTTAATAAAAATTTTATCAAGTGAAAATCAATATTAATTAGATATAAAATAATTTTAACGACATTTTAACAATTTAAAAATTATATTTCAAAAAAAAAATGTTAATTCAAAAGATCAAAGGTAAGTTAATATTTTATTAAATATATAGTATATACATCATGTATAATTATTAATGTCCAAAAACAAACCGTTTATTACTTTTTGATATGTAAAAAAAGAATAATTATATAGCCAAAATCTATGAAAAAAATGAATTTGAACTAGACTTTGTAGAATTTATATACTAAAACTTTGGATGTTGTGTGACAAGACTGTGTTGGGATATTTAGAGTAATATTAGAGGTCTGATTTTTTGTTTTACAATTTTTCAACTCGCCCGCCTTTTGTTTAAAAAATATTCAACTACCTATGATTTTTGAAAAATATCAGACCGCCATTGTTTTTCAATTTTTAGCCTATGATTTTGAAAATGAATTATTAGAATAATTGACTGCTATGCATAAAAATTAGTAAAAAAAATCTTGCTATAATTTTAATAAAATTAAGTATTTAAATACTTAATACAATAAAGAGTGATGGCATAACCTTTTTTAGGGCGTAAAGGGGGGGGGGAGATTAAGGACAGGGCCCTTCAGAAATTTGTATAAGCCAAAAAATTTCCCCTACATCCCCTTTCCACACCTCCTTCTCCTCCATATAAGTATAACAATAATTTGAAGGAAAAATAAGTAAAAGTTTAATAATTTTCTAAAATAAAGACTACAATTCAAAATTTTTAGAAAATGTATTTTTATGAAAAAAAAGTGAAAAACATTGTCTTTATAAAAATGTAACATAGCCAAGATAATACAATAAGTAGACCTTAAGACCACTAATAAAATTTAGGAAATCTTGATCACACCTATGAGTAATTGATTTATTTTATCAACTCAAAAATAATGATAAAATATTTACGAAAAATTAGAAGGTTTTAAATTAATTTTATAATCGGTGCTTTTAATTTTTTTATAATTATTTTTATATTCATTTTAAAATTTTAATAAATAGATAATTTTAAAAAATATGTGAGAATATTCTGACGACTAAATAGAGTTTAAAAAAGTGAGAAATTACAATATTTTTATAAAGAAGAAAATAAAATGTCAGTTGAAATAAAAAGAAAAGGTTATTTTTGATTATGTATGTGCATGACAGACCAAGAAATAAAGAATTATTATGTTGAAGAAGTATATAGGAAACAAAAAAGCAGTTTGAACATGAGAAATGATTAAATGAAACTATGCATGATAAGCAAGCATTAATTATGATTTTTCCATTAAAAAAGAATATAAAATACTGATAAAGTTTTCGTTAAAATTTTGATAAAATAATTCATTAAAAATAAACTAGAGAAAAATGTTTTAAATCCCCCCCTCTTCCCACCCCCCCCCCCCCTGCCCACATGTAAATTTTTTTGTAACCCAGCAAGCCCATTATATAAAAGTTTTAACCCTCTTGGGCGTAAAATTTATTCTATGAATATCTTTTTAAAATTTTCCTTGGTGTTATATTTAGTTCCTATTTTAAATTTCCCACTAAATAGTTTGAAACTTTTCTTTGCAAAACGAAAATAAAATATATATATAAATCGATTTGATTACTGAACCCAAGAAAATTGTCATTCGACTGGCAGCAACCCGCCCACTCCTTGTTATAATTTTTTTTAACCTGCCCGCTCATAATTTTTTTTAAAAAATTTATACGTCCACCCACCCGCCTGCCCGCCTAGTGTAAAAGGATTTTAATGACTGGTTTGGCTCTTTATTTATTTATTTAAATGTATTTTTAATTACTTATATAATATGCAATTATTATTTTTAATTAATTGATAACAGTTCTGTCCGTTTCACTTGAAAAATATTTAATATTAACCCACCCATTATATAAATTTTTTTAACTCGCCCGCCACCCGTCCAATCTTAAAAATTGTTTAGAAAACCCCACCATTTTCGCCCAAAGTATGTGCGGGCGAACTAAGAACCCGTACATCGTAAACCTCTACTTTCTCTAATCACAAGTTAGTTTTGATTATATTATATTTAATTAAATTTTTTCTCAAGAATTCCTCTTTTTTGTTTATCTTAATTAATTCTTCTTTCTATCACCCGTTATTTAAATTTTGAAATTAAATTTTTTAAAATCTTATCTCTTCTTCGCTATAACTAGCAATAAAATCTAATTATAAATTCAAATTAATTAAGCGCAACTTTATTTTTTTGAAATTGTAAAATTTGCATAATTTGTTATAAGGTTTACGTAATTTAAAATAGAAAACGTTGTTATTTTTTGGGATGAGCGCATCCTTAGGAAACGGTTTTAAGGACAGACAGTTTTTATAACTGATTTCTTAGGATAGAGGGACAGAGAATGACACCACCCTAACGAAAATTTGCGGGCCTTCCTAACGCCAATTTTATGGCGGTTAGTTTTCTTCAAATAATAAACTTATTTGGAATAAATGATAGAATAAATGATACGAACAATAATTAAAATATTATTTGAATGGTAAAAATATACTAAAAGAAAAGAAATACGAGATTAGCATAAAAACTAATCTTTGGTTCTGTAAACTATTTACAAATCTAAACCATTCTTCTTTCAAGAGTCTAATGTTATCAACCATTGCACCCAGGGTTTCGAACCGTTCAGCATAACGGTTCGGTTTGTTCCGGTTTTTAGTTTAAAATTTTATAAAGATTTTGTTCCATTTCGGTTTTTTTAAAAAAAATTCATATCGGTTCGGTCCGGTTTATAATTTATAACGGTTATTTTCAGTTTTTATTTATTTGATTTAAAAAAAAATTAATCATTAATCATGTATATATTAATTTTAGAGAAGAATCTTTTTAATTTATAATTTCTTATTTAATTTAACCATGATAATCTAATAGAATTTTTATTAAACTTAGTAAATATAAATTAAACAAATTAATTTTTTTTATTTCATAAATAAATAAGATAAAAACAAACATGTGTAAATACAATGATAACGCATAATAAAATGTATACTATTTATGTTTAAAAAGAGAATTAGAACGGATAACTAAAATATTTTCTAATATTTCAGGATTTAATTTAGTTCTCTGCGCAGAGAGTATAAACTTAAGGCTAGAAAATGCTCTTTCTATGGATACCTGAGTAGCTGGAACTTATAAAGTTCTGGCATATTATTCTTTACATTTTCCTAATAATTCAAAAGATTAGTATCTTTTTCTAATCTCTCTATATTATTAAATGACTGAATTATATATTCTATTTCAATTTTCTATGCCCTGAGAATTATTCTTATTAAGACTTTCATGCAACTTTAATAAATCTTCAAAATCATCTTCTAAATTATCTTTCGAATGCGAACACGTAGGCATGGTATTTAGAATTTCAATATTCTGATTATTTAGACTTTGTATCAAGTTCCAAGTTTTACAAAGATGTTTTCTGGCGATCTTTCTTTCTTCAAATGTTAAAAATATTATTTTAATAATAAATAATTTATAATGACTTAAATGAATATTAGAATTCTGAATTTAAAAAAACAATATGATTATAAATAAAAAATTATTATATCATTAAAATATTGCTGACCATGTTATTTATTGTCTATTAAATTCTATGATCCAAGTTTTTATAATGAGATAAAAAATAAACCATATAATATAAAAATGAATGTAAATTTATTAGATGTTAGTTAATAATAGTAGAATTATTTAATTTTTTCCTAAATTATTAACAAGTAATTATTATAAAAGCTATATATAAACTTGTTTATGTGTGATTTTAAGATATCTTATCTAATTAACAGATAACTTGCCTAATCTCTAATAAAATAAGTATAAGGAAAAAACAATAAACTTGGTATTGATTGATATATAATGTTGATAATATTAAAATATTTAATTTGAAAAGAAATCACCAATTTAAAAAATGCCCCGGAAAATTAAAATTTCTAAAATTAATTATTTTTTAAAACCGTTTATAACCGATTTAAACCGGTTAAAAATATTTATAATGGTTCGGTTTGCTCTTTTACATTTTCTTTATAACGGTTCGGTTAAGGTTACGGTTTAGAAAATCATAACGGTTCATTCCGGTTTGACGGTTCGGTTCGAAACCCTTAGCACCATTTTTGGAGATATTTTAATTCTCTTTTTGCTTATCAGTGAGAAAAGACTGGCATCGATAAGCATTGTATAGATAAATAATCTATTCATCTGGCATCATAAGATATCGTTGTAGTTGAATAAAAATTATGGAACAAATAGTATCTCCTTATCTTCTTCAAGACTTTCCCCAATCATTGTACCTTTAGCAATTCTATCCCTTAGTGTAAATTGCCTTATGCATGATTTTATTTTTTATAAAATATAATGTAATAAAAGATCGGTCTTTCGAACTTTTTTGATTTTAGGACCTATTTTGTAAAAAAAATTGAATTTATTAAAATTTATATAAATATTTAATTAATTCAAGGATGCGGTTTATTTTGTTTTAGGCATATTTGCCCGTCAATAACAAAAGATCTAACTCCTTGAAAAATTTTAACCATTAGAATTTTATAGAGCTTATGACTGAAGCACTATAAATTAAAATATAAAAGCAATACGGTACCTAGGCACTTTAATTTCAATATTCCGATATTAACACTGTAGAAAAATTATTTAAAAATTCATATTTTTTCAATTATGTAGAAAATATATTGTTGTGATTATAACTAATTACAGTTACTATTTACATTTTTTCTAAATTAATTATTAATTTAACAATACTAAAAATATGATTTCAAAAATAAAAGAAATAAACATTTTTTTTTAAAAAAATTTTATTTCTCAAGCCCAAATACTTTTCACCTTTAATCCTAAGATTAATTTTTGTCCCATGGGATTGATTTTTTTTATTTATATTTCTTTTTTCCAATAAGAAAATGTATTTTTTTTATCATGGTTTGTCATACGCATCGAATCAATAAAATTAATTTATAATTAAAATGCCGATAAAAAAATAACCTAAATTGGTGTTTATTCTGAAGTTCATAGCAATATTTGTAATAGCGGATTTAAATCGTGATTCAAAATCAATTACATCTAAAATTCAGCCCCCCCCCCTCCCCCGATTCAAATTGAATCTTACTATTTTACGATCCTTGTAGACACTATTTGTGCTAATAGATATAGAAATAAAATGGTTAAAATCTCATTATATTTTGAATCGAGTTAAATTTCAAAATTTTTATGCTAAAATGTTAGTAGCAAAAAAATTTTAAAATTAGTAGATTCAAGATAGAGCGATATATAAGGACTAAAGCAATAATAATAATTTAAACATAATATAATTAAAAAAAATACTATCTTCATTATAAAAAAAAGTTTATTTAAAGTATGAGACTCGATCTGGCTGTAGCTTTGATAGTTTTATAATTTAGTGGTGGTAGTATAAAAGTAATCAGACTTGTGACATATACGCGGTAACGATTACAATCGATTTTTTCAACCTTCAATTAGTTGAGCGATTTAGTAACGTAGCACTAATACTGCTCTTTTCACTTGATAGAGAAGGTCAAAAATCGATACCATAGCGTCTTTGGCATGAACTGTTTTTTTTCAATATAATTTACAATTTTTTTTTTAAACCTGAAAACTTTATTTAAAAAAATAAATGTGCCTATTGTTCATTCTATTCGTAGATTTTTTCACACTTTCATAAATATAAGAAATTTCTATTTTATAGAAATAGAAAATATGGGAGGAAGTTTTATGAATTTAAAATCGTTTAGAATATCACTAATTCAAACATCCGAGATTCTGAAATAAAGTTTAAAATTAGGAAATTACACTTAGTTATCCAGTCCTTTAATATAGAATTCTCAACGTATTGATTTTTTTTGTTTTTATGAACACTGTATTTTTCTTTTTTTTAAAGAAAAAAAATATTAAATAATAAATGATTATTTATTATATAATACATATTACTTTTTCTCTGAATATATCTAATCTAATTTTTACATTTTTTTCATTCGTTGTTCATATTATTATGAATTTGAGAAATATTTTATAATTAAATTTCATACTTAATACTATTTTTTTTAGTTAATTTTTTAAACAGCTTTATTTACCTTTATTTATTAATAAATGTAAAAATAATATATACATTACAGGTAAAGAAAATATTGTTATATAAATTTAATGGGTACACTTAGAATAAGTAGATATACTATATTAAATAACCAAAAATATCGATAAATTAATGCGAAAAGTCAAGTACTAATATCCGCAATGATATGAGGAGCAATTTAATTATTATTAATTATATATTCTTTTTTTTAAAAAATTTAAAAATGACTATAAATTGATTTTAAAAAATGTATGGCAAAAAAATCAATAATACTGTTGATACCATTCAAAATTTGTTAATAAATCCCATCTTATTCAGATATGGGGTTTTATTTTAAAAATTATTAGCTTGCCTACTTTAATAATATTTTTTTAATAAATAATATATATTAAATCAGTTTATTAATATCTTTATTTCTAAAATCATTCATTATTTCACAGGTAAATGGACAAATATGTGGCATAGAAAAATATTATCGTATAAAATAAAAATTGGTTTTACTGCGAATTAAAGGCATCCTCATAAACAATTTTACTTTGAACACAATAAAGAATAAATGCAATGATATCAATAATATATTAAAAATTGTAATGATTCTTTATTATTTACCTCAATTGTCGATCAGAAAATTTTTGAAAGTCTTATGAATTAACATTAGCTCATAAAAAATCAAGATATTAAAGCTCAAAATGAATAGCATTATAATAACAGGCAAGATACCCAACATAAGATTCCTCCTATAAAAAAACGAATAAAATTCAAAATGAGGTAGCAATTACAGTCAATCTTTAAAATACAATCTTAAAATTTGTTGAAGGATATAAAATTTAACCATCTATAATTCATGGATGGTGAACAAAAAAATTCTATTCAACATTATGGAGTAAGGTCATATCTGGATAATTTTTATAGTTTCCAAAGCCAAAAAAGGAAAATCAGTGATGAAGGAATGAATATTGAAGACGGTGATACAACGCATACTACGACTGAGAAAAATTTGCTATTGAATAATAAGGAAAAAATTTCCACTTACATGCAAAGAACGAAAAATTGTTGTAACCCCTGCCTATCAATAAAAAAGGGTTGTTGTTATTTAATTTGGAATCCTAAGGGGTTTAAACTATATTTGATTTTGAGTGTATCTATTCTTATCTTGGGGTTAACATTAATAATATGCGGATTCTTTATAGAAAAAGCTCAGCCAACAATATATACGCCTGAAGATATAGAAACGCAAGGAAATGCAGATACGATTTTCGATTTAGAAACCCACTTAGAAGCTTACATCGACTCGAAAATTTACGAATCAAACAATGAAAATAAAGACAATTTGAAAAATATATATGCCAAAGACAAAATGAGAAAAAATTTATTAATCATTGACAAAAAGGCCATTCGACATAATCGTATCATGAGGTGGGTTAAAACGAGTGGCTTAATTCTCTTTTTTGGGGCAGGACTTTTATTTTTATTATCTATGTTGGCGCCATTATTTTGTTCCGATAATTCTGCTTCATCATCCAAATATGACAATAAAGATAGAATAAAAAGACAAAGAAAAGGTAAACCAGATTCAAGCCACCTCCACGTGGATAACGAGGAAAAAACAAATATTATTCAGTCAAAGCTGTCAAAGAGCAAGCAAAATCTGATGGGCGAAATGATCGAGGTTGATAATTTAAGTAGCAGTAGTAGTATGATCAGTGATCCGCTTCCCAATATCTATAACAAAGATGACAATGAATCTTCTATATCAACGAGTGAATCCTTTCTATTGCCTGATCAATACCAGATTGAAGATAATTTTAATATCAAAGAAAGCACACCTAACATAATGAATAATGCAAATATTAGAAATGACGAGGATGAATATGAATCGTATCTATCCTCACATGATTCATCGGGAAAAAACATGGATGAATTATCTTATAAGGTTCCTTCACATGCACCGGTATACATGCCAAAAAGGTGATTTGTTTTATATAAAACAACTTTAATTTATATCTTTTAAATTATACATTTATTGAATCAATGCATATTATATTTATATATTTTGATAGAACTATATATTTAATTTATTATTAATAAAGAGAAATGTATTTATATTAAAATTCACTGATTCTATATAAATGAGTTATAAATAGTTTTAAATGAAATTTAAAACAGTAAACACTTGAGTTCCGTTTCAAATTCGGATAAAAATAAATATAAAGTCGTGCATATATTTTTTTTCATTATTCTCTGTAAATGTGTATTTCCTAATATATTCCATGACTTAATATCCCGAGTTGATATAACGTTACTACAGTGAAAGGATTATTTTTGGTGATTCTGCTGGAAAAATTCTTCACTCCCTATGTTTCTATTATTATTTCAAAAGAATACCAACTGCTATCACATTTCACTTATATTTCATCTAAAATGTTTACACAATCGAATTATCTTGATCTTATAGTCTTGCATTTTGATCTTTAAAATTAATCAATTTTTTTTATAATTTATATAATAATATTCGATATTTATTAATGATTAAAATCTAAAAATCTTTTATTTAGGAATATGTAGCAGTTATCTTCATTTATTTCTTATTTTTTGATATTAAATAAGAAAATTTAATATATACGATAAATATTTAATCTTAAATTTATTCAAATTAAGTGACCCTTTCGGTTAAATTATTTAGATATATTTAAAACAAGCTATTAATAATTCATTCACAATAGTTATCATCTAGCCCTCAAACCTTTGTATTTAGGACATTTCTCTTATATATATTTTTTTTAAGTCTTACTGTACAAAACTATACAATTAACATACTAATTTAATAAGTTTTATTTATGATGTGTATAGGTTAGCAATAAATACTGGAATATTTGTATTAATATTACTAATTAAGAATTTTTAAAAAATGCATCTTCATTTTTTAAATAATACATGCTGAATTTTTTATGGGCTTCGCTTGACAAATAGGTTAGATACGGTGCTAACAGCATAAGTCTGGTTTAATCTCTGAAAGGACCCATTTTTTCTGAAACCAAGCCCACGAATGTATATAAAAAAGGACCAGAAATATAGGCTAGGGTTAATGAAGTTCATGGTCCAGTTTTCTCGGGTTGGATCGAGCCGTAATGGTTTAGTCTTTAGAATAGGCTTTGTAGTTTAATTTCTGCAGTCGGTTTCCGGTTCGGCTCGGAAAAAGAAAAATTGTATATTATTTTTCTAATTAAAATAAATATAAAAGCAAATCAATCAACTTCAGTTCTTTGTGAAATTTTCCAAAGCAGGTGACTTAATAGAAATAAATTATCAAGCAAGATGATAATCTATCATTTGTTGGGTAGCGTTGTTCATATTTTAGTGAAATCTCAAGGCTTCTTATATAATATTTTTTGGGTAAAATCTTGATTTACCCGTTTTTAAAAATCGATTAAATGGAAATTTTTAATTTAATTTTAATAAACTTATAGGCTTTTAGGTTGTAGCTTGCAGTTCTGTATTTAAAATTCGGCTCGCTATGAATTTAACTAATTAGGGTTAAAATATATTTAAAAAATTAATGATATTTTGTGGTTTCAAATTAAAGTATTCAACTGTAAATGCGAATATGTGAAAATTTGCTCAAGAACTGTAATAGCATCCAATGTCGATATTCATTATTTAGTGTTATAAAAATGGCAAAAATGGTTTATTTTGTTCCATAAATAAATAGCGATAAAATTAAATAATATGTGTATGAGGTGATATTTTGAAGTATAGATAGCGGAAGCGATAATTATTATACAAAACTTGATAAGTATAAAAAAAATATAATAATTTATGCCCGTCAATTATCAATTTCAACAATAACTTAGATACAAAAAAATAGCCAACGCATTACACAATTTAAACATGGTAACACACAATAATCACATTTATATGTTTGCCTATTTTATCATAGAATTAATATTAGAATATTCTTCGTTTTGAGCAGGTAAATTTAGGTTCTATATGAATATAATTTATGGAATAATAATGTAATTGTTAGTATCATTCTAAGACATATAATACTTGATTGACATTCATTTGTTATAATGCATGAGATAATAGGTCAACTCAATTGGATGAAATATATTTAAAATTAAATTAGTAAAGGTAAGCGATATGGGTTATAGTTAATTAAAGATTTGAGAGATATGTGATAGGGTTAAGATTATATTAAAAATGGTTAATATTAGCTGATGACATGCCATTTTTGCTTCTCAAACAATTTTTTATAAATTACAAGGGAAATCCAAATGGCGTGTCAGCTAGTTTGTATTGATAAGATACAGTTAATAAATGAATTGTTAGTCTATGCAGTATTATATGTTATTGGTATTATTTATTATATATAATAACTTATTTTGTAAAACCAAATAAAGCTTATCAATAAAATATTGCAAATAAAATTTGGATCAATAAATGCCTAGGCTCAGAACCTTCCGGGATAAATAAAGAAGTTTCATATTTCAGATAAATATAATAGAATAGTGTTAAGAGAAATATGAAAGTAACGGAAACTGAATATTTTTAATCAGGAAGTGGAATGGGACCAAAAAACGATGAAACATTTCTAATTTTTAAATTTAATCTATAACATCTTAGGAAACTATACTATTCATTACTTGTCCAACATCGTAGAGCCAAATTTTGCCACCTTCATCTCCAACACAAATCTGATTACCAGATGGAGACCAAAGAAGCTTGTTTAAGGCGGAGTTTGTAACCCTTTCCGAAAATATCGGTTCCTAACCGGATTTGTTTTTAAAAAAAAAGTTTTATGTAACCTAAGTACTGTTGTTAAACGGCAACTCAATATTTTAGCCAGAAAAGTATTGCCTAAGTCTCGAGATTTCGCTAATAGTTGTCCAAACCTTTGTTCCTCCTACAAACAAAATCTTCATGCTTGCGTAATATTATTCTGGATAAAATATTGAGTTAGCCGTTTTTAAAAATCGGTTCAAAACGAGCCGTTTAACAACACTAAACCTAAGTTTAAAATAAATGAGGTCATTAAAAAAAGGTACCTCGATGGAATGATTGAGCTTCCACAAATCTAATTGCCCGTAACCGGTAGAGAGGGCAAATGTTAAGGGGTTTACAGGAGACCATTGAACACTGTAAATATAGTCCTCGTAACAATCCAATGTTAAAAGAGGCGCGTTATTAGAACTATTGTTACTGCCAATAAAGCTACTCAAATTATTGATGTTAAATGTGGATGGATTATTGGAGAAGGAATTACCCGTATTTTTAGTTGGATAATTGTTAAAGTGAACGGGGTTAAATGTGTCAACGATATCGCTATTCGGCTAAAGAAATTTATTAAAAAGATTTGTAAAACTTTAATGATATGGATAGGAAGCTAAATAATTAATACCTAGAAACTACACCAACAAAATAGCTTATATTAATTAATCTAAATGTAAACTATTAAATTTATAAATAATACCAAGGTTAGCCAGCAATTAGTATTTTATTACTATTATTATCGATGTTATGCTGAAGGAATAATAACGAATAAAATAGATTAACTCACTTTTATCGACCATAATTTAACGCTCCAATCTGTTGACGAAGACAAGAAGAGATGTGAATATTCAGGAATCAATGAAGGGTTGAAATGTAGATCGGTTATAGGTCCCTTATGGCTATCATAAATCTCGTTTAAACCGTTTTTACTTTTAGAAAAAAAGTAATTTTTTTTAAAACAAATTTGTATTTTATTTTCATCGATTTTCTTTATTTATAGTTATTGCCTCATAAAGAAATATTTCGAAGATATAAAATATCATTTCAAATTTAACGAGTATTTTTAAATATAAAATTATTTAAATTGATGTTGCAAAGGTTTGAAATGATGTATAATTAATAATTTTCTATTCAGATAAAATATAAATATATATATCGAAGGATGTTATATATATAGTGCTGCAAATATTACTTCAAAAAAGAAACGGGTTACTCGTTACGTTTAAAAAAAACGCGTTACTGGTTATTCGAAAAAATAGCGTGTTACTCATTATTTAAAATAAATTTTATTTTTGTTAAATTTTTTCCCCATAGCGAATAAAATAAAATTATACATAAATAATATATTATAAGATAAGTTCTTTTTGTAATAATTTTTTATTTATTTTTAACAATTGGTTTTCAGAATTTTGATCAGATAAACAAGAGCATTCGCTTTGGGGGAATTTATAAAATAATATTTAAAAAATGATCTTTATTTTCAAAAAAATTTATTGGATCCTCTTCACAAGAATCCTCAAATTTTTTAATTATATTTATCAGAATTTAATCTGAATTAATATTTTTACCTTACATATGCTTTTTGAGCTGCTGGACATTGAGGTTAAAATTAGAGATCTGCAAAGTTAGGCCCGGCCCATACCGGCTCGAACGGGCTTCGGCCTACTTCTATTTAAAATAATCGGGTTCGGGCCGGGCCTAATATTTTTAAAAAAAATTCGGGCTAGGTCGGGTCCGACCTTGGAAATTTTTTTAAATATATCTTTTATCAATTTTATATTTAATGTTTTATGTAAAATAAAAATATTTGATTTTATATATTGAAACTAAACGACATATAACATATGTCTTTTATTTTGAGTAATTATAAAAATTAATTTCTAAATAAATTCGGGCCGGTCTGGCAAAACTTCTTTTTCAAAAAAATTTGGGTTCGGGCCGGGCAGGCAAAACTTTTTTAAAAAAATTTCGGACCGGGCCGGGTTTGAAAAATTAGGCCCGATGCAGATCACTTGTTAAAATCTAGGACACAATCTACACTCACAAAGTGAAAACTTAGTGCCCTTAATTTCTTTATTTATTTAAAAAATGTTAACTGAGGCCAGGGTAGAATAAATCATCTTCACCTTAAGAAATAAGTACTTAGAGAATATAAATTAACATACCTTGAATGATTAAATATTAATTATATTAACAATCTTGACTGTATAATCTTAATAAATTATTATGTTAGAGATAAATTACCATACCTTGATTGATTAAATATTAATTATATTAACAATCTTGACTGTATAATCTTATTCCTCTTACCAATTTATCAATCTATTCTTAATCGCAAATGTCTTTACAATATAAAATTTTTAGATATATTCAATTTTTGGTCCTTCTTCACAAACAATTTCATGAAAATTCAAGAAAAAGTTCAAATATTGAATTATCACTATTCAACCACTCGCTCAATTACCAGCCAAATCGGGTGGTTTAGACTTCCTTCCCCTTAACCTTCTAGCTTTATCATTCAGATGAATAAACAATCCAACACTGATATTTATGAACGATGCAATAAACAGATGGATGGCCAACACCACTCCTTTCCCATTAATCATCACCCATAAAAACCTTTAATCTCAACTCCTAATCAACTATTAGTCAATCAACCTTTAAACTGTATCCAGCTTCTTAAATCAGAGGACAGATTTGGTGATCACGAATAGTTAGCTCTCCTTGGTCATAACCTTGGTAATCTCTTAAGAAGTGAAGAGTCGCCATCGATTTATGCCTAGGGTGTGGCATCTTTCAGTCCCATACTTGTGTTAAATGTAATACTCCAGAAGATTCGAAAGGCAAACAGGGCCTGAATTGTTTATATAGACAAGGAAGATATTAATGACACACTTCAATAAATCATGTCATCAATAAATGTTGAACCGAACTTAGTAAACAGAACCGAAATAATTCTATATTTTTTAATAAACCTGTTTAATATTTTTTATCAACTTATCTCTTAGTCTTCAGCATATTTATCTCTTGGCGGGCGTTATTTTTTTAAACTATATTTTATGAAACTATTATGTATTTTATTATGTAATTTGTTTTTTTAAAACTATTATGGATTTTGTTATGCAAATGTTATGTTATCTGTTATATAATATATTACTAATAATTTATAATTATAAAAATATAAATTATACCAATCATTTAAAAAAAGAGGCATATATTTCATTTATCTCTCTTAAAATGCACGATTGAAATTTTGCCAGGTTTCTAACTTCTTCCATAAAATCAAGGGAGATTAAGCTAAAAAAAATGATGCATTCTGTGCGTGTTTATATCTTAACCTCGATATTATGTATTATAGTCAGATGACAAATAAGAGGACTAGAAACTTTTATACAAACTTGACATGCAATTGAGACATGTTGTGATGGTATAATGATATATAATTCACTCCCTACCATTAGTTCAAGTCAAAGTTATCCCGACGACTAAGGTGATTTTCTATCTTGATTACAAATGAAAGAAAATAGTCAAAGTCAAAATATGACATACAATACAAAAAATCTTATAACGGCATCGAAAGGAATAAAAATATCGATATTCTTTTGCATATTTGGAAGGAAGAAGTGCACCCTGAGGTTTGTCGATTAGCAATAATAGCCAAGTCGGTCTCAGCAATACAGGTTTAGGCTTATAAGGAAGATTTTTAAGATTGAAATATATTGTATCATCATAGAGAACAAGATTGGATAAAGATATATTAGATAATTTTATATACAAATACAATTGAATATAAAATTTTGGGTTGGTCTTCATGAGTGCTTTATTTTCCTTGTTACTCTATGTCTATATTTATCATAAAATAAGATTTAAATTATTTATAAAGATTATGGGTATCCCAGGTAAAAACTAATTAATACTGATCCTCTATAAACCTCTAACGTAGGGCTTTGGACCCTAAACAGAACCGAAACCTTTATAAAATTTAATACCTTAACCTGAACCTTTATAAAAAGAATTCCTGGAACCTGAACCGAACCTACCTATATATGAAAAGTTTCGATACTCTGATTTTTCCCATCAACCTATCCCCCGCAAAGGGTTCAGACCTGATGGAATGACTATAATTCCTTAGGCCCTCGGTTTAATTGAGATTTTATTTGTTTCTAATCAACCCAAGCCAAATCAAAAAGATTTAAAAAAATACAAAGATCTCAAATATATTTACCCCAATAGTCATCTCCACAAACGGCCACACGCCTAAAACTATTAACTAGATTTCAAAATCAGACATTTTACCAACGAGGCTATGGAATTCCTTTTAATTCGACAAAAAATTTAACTATTAATTATATTTTTATACCCCTTTAAGATAGTTTTACATAAATAAAGATTGATTATAAAAAAAATAATATGAAAAAAAAATTCAACAACAGAAATGTAATAAAAAATAAAAATGAAGAACTTTGGTGGTTGATGTGAATTAGAAATTCGGCTTATATTTATAAAATTTAAAAAATATAATATATAAAATAATAAAAAAAAATTTATTCCATATTTTTTAAGAAGTTATCGTGCAATTAGCCAAAAAAGGGTTTTCCTTTTCGTCAAATAGGTAACGATGTACTTTACAGTACTACATATAAATAAATAAAAATGATATAATCTCCATAAATACTGGCTAAGGCTACCAGGTACAAACCAGGATTTTTCACTGGAGAAGTTAAAAATTTTATCCTTATTTTCGCAATGACACAAATAATGTAGGTCAACTTGGGGAGGTTTTAAAACTAGAACATTCTATCGGTATTTACGCGTATTTTATGCAATCTAGAAGTCATAAAGCAATTTTTAAAACTGATAAAATTTTCGCAACTACAAATATGTTTCTGGTTAAAGATGACAATTTTCCCTTTTTTAATAAGTGACATTAAATAATAAAAATAAATAATATTTATATAATAAAAAAATGTTTACGATCCATGTCGCCTTGCAGAAAAGATAGAACCCTGTTCAGCGCCCACAACAAATAAGTTGTCGTCGTTATGCGCCGGTGTGGTATGTTGGTTTTCGTTTGAATTATTATTAGAGCTGTAATTGTCGGGAGGTAAAGCATGTGTTGTAGTGGGAAACGATATACATGATAAAGATGGGACGGGGTATGCAGGGGATAAGAGTTCGAGGCAAGAGAGCGGGCTGGATAGGGATTCGACAGACCAATCGAGAAGCTTACCATCGGTAGATAGCGATGCTAGGGAATTCGAGTTAAACGTACCCAGCGGAGCCAGGCCACAGATTGGGTGCTGAGTTAAAAATAAAATAGTATAAATTGAATAAAAGAGATTATTCACAATAAAAATAAAGCTGGGACATAATGGAATGATAAACAGGGAGTATCATTTTTTATGGTCTAGTAAAATATATGAATAAGAATTGCTATTAAATATATAACAATAAAAAGGGCAGGGTATAACGATTTTACCCTCTTTTATGCCATTTATCGCTCGTCGGGTGTTTTTGGAGGTAATCATTATTTACTTTGGTATATTCCAAACTAGCAAAGAAGTAAAAGATTATGTATTTAATGAAATCACTTCCTCAATTAATAATTCTCGTACAGTTTTAATTTTTTTCGAAAGCCAATTTCCAGGTATAATATGGGTAGGAAATCGTAGTTAAAAATGCTGCCTTACATTCCAGGTCAAAATTTTTCATATCTTTTCCCCAGATAAATAAACGTAGCAATAATGAATCACGATAGGTTTTTGTTGATCTGTAGATAATATTTGAACTAGGTTGCCATAATATTTCTCCTTCTTCTAATTTTTGCAGAGTTGTTAAAAGATACTTTTTAAATGGATCTAGATACAGATACATAGTCTCAAAAGTTATCTAGATACAGATACAGCGTCTAAAAAGTTATCAAGATACAGATACAATTTTTAAATGTATCTATATACAGATACATTTTTTATTATGCTCTTATAGGTTTGCATAGAGCTAAATTAATATTATATTGTGAAAATTCATGAAATGAGCTAAAAAATTTATTGACGCGATATAACATTTATCAGAATATAACTAAAATAATGATTTTAATATAATATATGAAAATATATGATTAAATAATTATTAGATTTCAGCAGAGTTGTTAAAAGATATAATCCTGTATCTAGATATAAAAATGTGGTATCTGATATGTATCTAGATAGATTTTTGATAAAAATATCGGTATCTAGATATTTTTTTAGACGATGTGTCTGTATCTAGATCCATTTAAAAAGTATCTTTTATAACAACTCTGGATTTCAGTAATAAAATATTTTCAAAATTTTGATCATTTAGGCATCCTCGTTTATCTGTAAAGACATTTTTAGCAACACTAAATAGTCTTTCCACAGGGGCGCTTGAAGGAATTGTAGTGTTATATTTAATAAATAACAATTTTATATCAGAGTATTCTTTAAAAATGCTAAAATCTCTATATTCATTTTTGAAAAAATTATTTAAAATTTGTTGATTATCAAAATTTAAATCATTATTAGAAATTATATCTGCTGTAGGGTACTGAAAAAAATCTGAAATTAAATTATTTGTTTTTTTTGGTAGGTTATTTGCTTGCAGTCAGTTGATGACTTTGATAATTCACCAGCTTATCTTTGTATCAATTGTTTTTTTTATTAAGATTTCCTTCCATTTGCAACCAAGTCCAATCAAGTTTAAAAAAAGGGTGGAGCATGGTTGCTATAATATTATCATCTTCAAATAAGGTCACAATAAACCTAGAATTATTAAATATTTTTAATTTATTATATTAATTTACCTATCCTCAATCCCTTTAAGTAAGGCATCTAAGAGTGGTAAACAGATGAAATAAAATAAATTTTACAATCAAATATTTTTATTTATAATAAAAAAAGGGGTATATAAAATGTATCTTAAAAAGTATCTAAAACAGATACAGATACCTCTATAAAAATATCTAGATACAGATACAGATACCTTTCTAAAAAATCTATCTAGATACAGATACAGATACTACATTTTTATATCTAGATACTTGTATCTAGATAGTTTAACAACTCTGAATTTTTGTAATCCAACCAGAAGGATTGATAGAGATAATATTTGAACATCTTCTTCTATAAAATCAAATCCATCTTTGGCCTGAAAAATTGACCTTTTCTAATACAATGGGAAGTTTAGTTCTTTGTTTAAACATCACGATCATAGTTTTTTTAGCTTAATAATTCCAAAAATATAAAAAATAAGTACCTTGTATCAGTTGAATAAGTTGTTCAGTATTTTAATTCGACATTGCGAGTATTTTTAAAAATATTTACTCATTATAATAACAAAATTGTCTATTATTACTAATATAAATAATATAATATGCCAGTATTTAGGGTTCAATATATATTTCTAGAACATAGATTTTTCAGTATTTTAATAGTTTGCCAGTAAATATTTTTTAATCCAGCATTTTAATTTATTTATCAGTAAAATTTTTCTTCAATTTAAATTTATTTATAATATTATCTATATTTTTTAAAATTCAAAAATTGAATTAAATAATTGCAATAAAATGTCTTTTTCGAAATTGACCCAAAATTTATTGGCTAGTAGTTTTGGTTTAATTAATATAAATTATCAATTAGCAATAAATGCCACTTTATTTAATTAATTTTAATACTTATATTATTTCGCTAAGAATAAAAACTGAAAATCTAGGATTTATTTTCCTTAATTGCTCAGAATTAAAAAAATAAGTATAGCTAAAATCTTTACTGAATTCCAGATATTTTTCTTAAAATCTAAAACAATTTTTTGTGTGTTTCACATATTTTTTGATTAATCCTTTTTTAATCTGGACATCTCAGTATTATCAATATTTTTTACTAAGCATTAAGAAATAATTCCGAGAATTCAGTATTTTTTCCTGGGCATCATGGAAAGGAAAATTTTAGAAGCGTTCCCGAAAACAAATTTAGGAACAATTGTGGAATGACGATATTACCAAGAACTTTAATGTTCCTGGAATAGTTAATGGATTAAATAAATTTTCATAAATATAAAATTTAATGTTTTTATTATATTAAGATGTTCATATATAGCACCATTTATACGTTTTTTATACATTATTCGAGATATTTATAATTATGCCGCACTGTTTATTTAAAGAAATTATTATAAAAATAGTAAATATTTTATATCTTTTATCCTCATTATAAAAATCGAAATTGAAAGAAGCTGGCTGAAAATCTCGGTTTTCTTGCTCATTTGACATGGAATGCTGTTATTTTTAAAATGTGATGCATTCAGCATAATCTGGCTATTTTAATATTGGAGAAACCTAAGTATGTAATTACCTATGAGTCCTTAAATACTCGAATTCTTAAATAAGATTTTTTTTTCAACTTTTTTTTCAATCATAAAAAAAAGTAGAAGTTGATTTTAGAACTTTCAAACGTTACTTCACCATAAATACCTAGAAAATATGGAAAATTTGCAAAAATATAAAGTGACTGTGACATTAGAAAAATATTATGATTACTGTATGAGCTTTAATACTAAGAGGTGTTCGCTGGACGGGAGATCTTTTATTGTGCCTGTTATCCCAAATAACTATTTGTCCAGAATAACAACCTCCTATAATAAGGTTAGGATGAAATTTGGCGAATGCAACCGTAGATATGGTGGACTAATTTGTGTTTATTTTTTAAAAAAAGTATTTACATTTAAAGATATAATAAAAATTTTTATTACACTTAAACTTAACTAAGGTCTTTTCTTGATAAACGTTTTTACTTAGGAACTAGTTTTTATGTGCATAGGTGTCCATTAAAAGAATCCAAATTGTTTATTTGTAATATCTCCGTTATTCAAGCTATAAAAACTAAAATAAATTATTTAATGTGAGAAAAAAAAACAACCTTTATCAAGATGGACACACAAGCATATAAGACAATGAAAATATAAAATAAATAAATAAAGACCTGGAAATTAAAGATATATTCTGGTTCAATGTCCTTAAATCGGGTGTTCCAAATCAAGACTTGTCCATCTGCATCTTTATTATTGTAATCTTCGTTTCTGTAATAAGAGGCTGCTAAGAGTTCAGGAAACTAAAATAAAAATAATGCTAATATATAATTGATATATTAAACTAAAAAATTTCTTATAAATATGTTAATTAGCCTTATACCAGATAAAATTCCCTAAAATTTAAAATTGCTTAAAAACAAGATTTTTAGGGTAGGACATAACTATTTTTCAACCAAATAGGGTTAATTTTTTTTTTTACCATGTTGGAGTCATTCTACAATTATAATATTATAAATTCATGATTTTATAACTTGATGATTCCAATCCAAGCTTGTAATACTTCGATTTTTGCAAAGGATATCATCAAATATGCAATTGTTTAAAGTAAGTTTATTACTTTCTCCTTTTTCAAATCTATATAAATATTATTTCAGAATTAACTCTAAAAAATATAATAGTGCAGTGCAATTATATAATAAAAGATAAAAATTTTTTTTAAACCTTCCATTTTACATTTGATTAATAACCAGAGCTTGAAAAAAAATTTCAAAATAATTTTTTTTGAATAGGAGAATTGACTAAATTTTATCTAAAAATGGTAAAACTTTCTTAAGTAAATCTTATGTTATTTTCATTCAAAAAAAATGAAATTTTAAAGATTTTTTCAAACTCTATTAAAAGAGACCCAAATTTTTTTTTAAAAACATGTAAAAGACATTTGGGAGAGGGGATTAAAAGAAACAGGTGATACCAAAATAGGCCTTTTAAAAAATCATTCAAATTAGATTCAAAATTTACAACACTTTTGAATTTTATAATCAGAATTTTTAATTACATTATAAGGATTTCAAAAATAATGGGGGGGGGGGAGGATAAATTTATAACCACTCTTTGTCTGAATTAATAAATTTTCACATAATATACATATAGTGTACTTTTGATTTTCTATAGAATCTTGAGAATAATCAATAGATATATCATAATTATCACTCAAAACACGTCTAACAATTTTTGAACAATGATCAATAAAACCTTTAAAATGAGGATCTGCTATTATTTGCAACTTTTCTTCTTCACTAAGTTCTATAACTATTTATATATATTTAAATGTCCTAGACATATATTATTTACTTTGCAATTTATCATCAATATTATGCTGATTATTCTTTTTTTGTGATAAGGGAATATTGGCTTGGTATGATCGCAATAAACCAATATTATGCAAACTATTATTAGTATTGGGATTATCAATTGAAGGAAGAATATTATCATCAAATTCATTTTCATCATGATTCGCATATGTGAGCACTTATATTAAATATAAAAATTAATATTATATTACAAAAAATGTGTAAGCATGGCCAATATAATAAAGATTTTATTCTCAAGATAAAGATTAACCTATATAATATTTAAAACTATATAAAAATATACCTGAAAATTCATCATCCCAACAATAAGATGGAGTGCTTAAAACTTCACCTTAAAAATAATATAAATTTAGGTATAGCTTTATTTGATAATTTTATTAAATAATATAGATTTATAACAATTAATTGCTTAACGAAAAAAGGAAATTGTTATTATATCGGCCATGTATAATATTTTCAAATTTATAATGTTAAAAGTAAAATAGGCATATCCTTACCATAGTAATCATGGACAAGTTTATTTTTATCATCAGGTGCTGTTTAATAAGATAATATAAATTTTGTTGAAATTAAATAAACAAATGATATTATATATAAATACATTGCTCAGTATCCATATTTATTTGCACTTCTTTGTTGTAATAAACTTTATCCTTTGAAGGTATATTAGTTGAAGTGATAGAAGATAATGATAACTTTTGTAATCTTTCTTGAGTCCTCAAATTATTGATAAACATTGATAATAAATAAAATAAATACTTATTTAATATATTTTCTGAATGATCTAAATTTATATGACTTGTGTTTAATATATCAGAGAATATATCAAATCCATTCTCAATCTTAGTTAAAGTTTCTAAAAATTAAGATTTTACATAATTGTTAATTGTTATGTAACTTGGGGCTATTATACCCAGATCTCTTAGAACATCATCAGCCTCATATGATTTATTTAGATCAGGTAAATTAGAATATACTTCTGTAGCCTAAAGCTTAATAATAATTAAATATTTGTAAAAAAACTGACCATTTCTTTTTGTTTTTTTTCCTCTTCTCTTTTTCGTTTTTCCTCCCTTATTAAAGCCAACTTAGCCTTCTTTTTTTCTAGCTCTTCCTTCCGACTCAAGGATGACATGAATTCAAGGTATTTTATTTAGAATAATTTACCATTTATCGATAATTTTAATGTAAAAAGATATACGACATAATATCGAATGGGCATGCATGTGGAGGTTCTTATCTCTGATTGGTATAAAATTAAGCTGTCAAAATATTTGAAAGAAAAATTAACAAAAGATATTTTTTTAAAACTTATTGTTATTAATACTTTTCTGTATATACAGATAAAAATTCCAAACTGGTCAGTGAAACCTATGCAGATACATTTCTCTTAAATGTATTCTAAAAGGTATATAATCGATACTATTGGCATCAGGAGCTTACATGTTGTATATAGGAAACTGGGAAGGTCTCCAGTTCCTCTTAAACCTAAAAATTATATCAAATCTTCTTTTCTTAAATTATCTGAGTTAGGCTTTTACTAATTTACAAACAATACGACTACTAATTTATATTTCAATTTATTTCAAATATCAAATTTATATTAATTAATTTTCAAATATTCTATTCTATTTTTATATATAATATCTATAAATAATATTTTATTAATTTATTACATTTCCTTCAAACATTTTAAAGTTAGATTTCTTCAATAAACCTCTTTGTAGGTTTACGGTTTCTTGATGAACAACGTAATGTGGTATTTGTATTTGTATTTGCTTCATTGGCATAACCATTTCTGTAACTTCCAAAGAACTTTTATGATTTAGGATAACTAAACGATTTCTTAACTGATCTGCATGCTTCCGTAATGTTTTCCCGGAAGATTCAAAAATATAAGAATAAAGTCCTATTCTTTCTTTAATTACTCCCTCTCCCCAACCATTGGTATTTTCATTATTTAACCATATAGGTTGTGAGATTTCAAATTCTCTTTCCTTTGAATGTAAATCATGATGAAGGCTTTGTCTATCATTGGCCCTTACTATTTCGTGTTCGGCATTTGGTCGGATCCAATCCAGACTTGTTTTTAATTGCCTCCCAAACATAATTTTAGCAGGAGATCACCCTGTGGAACTATGCTCTCCCAATCGGTAGGTTGTTAAAACCTGTGTCATAGCTTCTTCGGGATCGCTAATTGAATCTCTCGTCGCATAATACTGACTTTTCAAAGTTCGTACTGTACGTTCAGCTAATCCATTAGTTTTTGGATGATAGGGTGCCGAACGTATATGACGTATGTTATTTAAATCACAATATCTACGGAATTCCTCAGATAAGAATTGTGGTCCATTGTCTGACACAATGTACTTGAGTATTCCAAACCTAGCAAACCATTTTTTTAGTCGTTTTATCATAGCATCGGTAGAGGTATTTTGCATTAGATCAACTTCTAACCATTTGGAGTATAGCCAATATCTCGAATCTACTGGTCCAGCAAAATCAATATGGATTCGCTCCCAAGATTCTTTCCCAACAGTCCAAGAATATAGAGGTACTTCTTGATACTAGGTCTATTTTTCTGGCATCCAGAACATATTTAGATAAAATTTTCTATATCAACATCACATCTGGGCCACCAGCAATACAATCTAAAAATAGATTTCATTACATTTTCCCCAGGATGCCCCCGGTGAATCTTTCCTAACACTGCATTTCTTAATTTATTAGGAATAACCAATCTCCCATTCCATACTATAATATCACGATCGACAGAAAGCTCTTCCCGTCGATTATAAAAATTAACTATTTCTTTATCTTTATGTCGATCAAAGTTTCGCCAACTTTGCTGAATATGTATTGCTACCTTTTTTAATATTAAATCTTGCTTCGACTCTTTTCGTATAATATTTTCTGACAATTGCATATCATCCAAATTAATACTTCGAATATCCAAAGCATGTTTAGAATCTTGATTCTCTTCCGTGTCTAATATCGGAAGCCTTGAATGCGTCGGCGATTACATTTTTATTACCAGGTCTATATTCTATTGTAAAATCATAAGAAGCCATCTTCCAGGCCCAACGTATCAAACGATTATTAGAAATTTTAGGTAAATCGCGTTTCTCCCCAAATAATCCTCTAATGGTTTATGATCAGTTCGAAGTAAAAATTTTCAACCATAAATAAATGAATGAAATTTTTCAATACGAAATAAAGGTGCTCGAGCTTCTTTATCAATCAGAGCATAGTGTTTCTCTGATTCTAATAAAGTACGTGATGCGAACGAAATAGGTTTTGTCCTTCCGTCTACTAATTGATGTAACAACACAGCCCCTAATCCTGAATCAGATGCGTTGCATTCCAAAATTATAGGCAACTGCGCGTTATAAAGAATTAACGTTTCCTCGGATGACAATAATTTCTTAACCTCATCGAAGGAATTTTGTTCATCTTTCGACCACCGGCAAGGTACTTTCACGCTCGTTAATCTGTGTAATAGCGCCGCTTTACAATATAGATTGCGAATAAAACGTTCATGATAATTAAATAGTCTTAGAAAAGATCTAAGTTGTTGTATATTTTTAGGTTTTGGTGCATTTCGGATAGCCTTCACCTTTTCCGGGTTAGGACGTATACCGAATTTATCAATTATCACCCCTAAAAATGAAACCGATTTTTGTAAAAATCTCACTTTTGTCAATTTCGCCTTAAGACCTGTCTGTCTAACACTATTCGCAAATTATTTAAGTGCTCCTCATCATTTCGACCAGAAATAATTACGTCATCTAAATAGACACCAATCATTTGGCAATCTTTTAGTAACTCGTCCATATATCTTTGAAATATAGTTGGTGCACTTGCCAATCCAAAAGGCAATCGTCGGTAACGGAAATAGCCCTTATGAGTCACTATCGTTAGTAGTTTCTGGGATTCCGATTCTACTTCCATCTGTAAATACGCATCTTTCAGATCTCTCACGTTAAATTTATCACCACCTTGGATTTTCTCTAACAAATCGTCTAAGGTAGGAATAACATGATGGTCATACAATAAACATGAATTGAGTGTAACTTTGAAATCAGCACAAATTCGAATACTCTTGCGTACATTTACGGTTGGCGTTGACCACTGTACCCTGGTTATAGTCCAATCAATCTTTTCGATAATTCCTGCAGCCACTAATCAGTCTAATTCCATTTCAATTGCTTTGCGAAGTGGAAATGGTACCCTACGGGCTGGAAACGATCTTGGTACAGCGGTATCCTTTAAATGTATTCGCACTGCAAAATCACATATATGCCCCATCTTATCATCAAAAATTTCTTGAAGTTTATTAATCAAATCTCGAATTCTAGAATCAAGTGTTATGCAACATTTCTCTTTTTCAATATTGTTGACCAAATTGCGTATTTGTTTATCATAACCTGACGAGGAATTTCTAAATTGAATGCTATAATCTATAGTAATCCGAAAAGAGGCACCCCAGTTGTATTCATTATTACCACTAATAGGGTCCTTGTCTGTGATCCAATCCTAACATTGACTTGGGTCTCGCCCTTAACGTCTAACGGATGATACCATATGCAGTCAATGGACTGGTTGGCCTAATTTTTGGTCGTCCAATACTTGTCCATATATCAATTCCTATCAATGACGCTTGTGCACCAATGTCAAAATCAAATTCAACATCTAACCCATTTATCTCTGCAGTTAGTTTTGCTCGATTCTCTCGATTTTGTTGAATCTTCCAAATATTATGAATATAATCACTTGATGACACTCTTATATAATTTAAATTCTTTGATTTACAGCAAACTGCAAAATGACCAATTTTTTTACATTTATTACATGCCGCATTTGTAGTTGGACATCTCATTTCTCGGTTATGAATAAAACCACATTTATAACATTTAAGTTTATTATAATCTTTATCATTATTATATTTGTATTTATTATTCTCTTTATCAAATGTATTATTATACTTGACTTTATTATAGCCTTTATCAAATGTAGTCGTCGTTTTAATTGGATGTTTATAATTATTATCATTATCATTTCTTTTGTTATTATCATTTATCTTATTAACAACAGGCATATTTTTATTTGCCATTTCTTTATCTGCTCGCTCAGAAGCTAATGCCAGATCAAGAATAAACAGTACATTATAATCTCTATCAAGACCGTCGAGATATAGAGCTCTAAGATCTCTTTCCAATCCTGGTATTTCCATGCCAACCATAAACTGTTCACGTAAACGCTCGTCAATATCATTAAGATAATGACAACGCTTGCCAACTGTTCTAATCTTATCTGCAAATTCAGTTATGGTTTCAGTTGTTCTCCGTAATCTAACGAAATCAAATCTAGAAGCAAAAGCTGTTGACGTCGGTTTAAATAGTTTAAAACATATTGACTTAATTTCCTTAAAAGATAAAGTTTTGATCGAATCAGGATAACAAAAACGGTCCACCAACTCAATATTCTTATTGCCAAAAAATGTTAAAAATATATCTTTATATTGACATTCAGATGGGCTTACGTTTTTTAATCGAAAACTGGCTTCCCATTGAGAAAAGTATCTATAGATTGAAGTGTGCAACTCGAATTTATCAAATTTAATCGTAGATAAATCCGCTATTTTTTTTGAATCTCCATTTAAGGAATTATTTTCTCCATTTAAGGAATTATTTTCTCCATTTAAGGAATTATTTTCTCCATTTAAGGAATTATTTTCTCCATTTAAGGAATTATTTTCTCCATTTAAGGAATGATTATCTCCATTAAAGGAATTATTTTCTCTATTTATCGTCGCCATTTGAAGTAATACCGACTACTAATTTATAAACAATACGACTACTAATTTATATTTCAATTTATTTCAAACATCAAATTTATATTAATTAATTTTCGAATATTCTATTTTATTTTTATATATAATATCTATAAATAATATTTTTTTAATTTATTACAGGCTAGGCCGAAAACTAAGCAAGATTTATTTACTATTTTGCTTATTATTATTTGCAAACAATATTTCAATTTTATAATCTTTAATTTTAATAGCTAAACAGCTATGGTACTTTTTTTAAAATAATAAGGTAATTTGTATGAGTTAATTTTTTTTAAAATCTTTTTATTAATATATATCGTCACCTGAAGATTAGGTTATTCTATCTCCATTTTTGTCACAATTTT